CTCTACCGTAGATGTCTCTTCTTCGCCAATGTCACTCCTGTTTAAGTTTTCTATTCTTCTAGTGGAACTGAATAATGGCTTGAGAGCTTCTAATTGATGAGCACACTGCACCAATTCTTCTTCACTCACTTCTTCAATCAACTCCTTTACTCCCATTCCAGAAAACAAAGTTTTCTCTAACGTACTCTTCCTCGTGTGATTACCCCTTTCTTTTAATACCGTAGATTCGATGATTTCAGCCTGAAACAATCCTCCTTGTCCACCTTATGCTTCATTGCTTCATATATGGAGAAAGTGACTTTATCATCAGCTACTCTTAACATCAATTTACCTTGTTGTACATCTATTAATGCTCTTCCTGTGGCTAAAAATGGTCTTCCCAATATAATTGGGACTTTAGTATCTTTTTCCATGTCAAGGACCACGAAATCAGCTGGAAAGATAAATTTATCAACCTTCACTAAGACGTCCTCCACCACTCCATAAGGATAAGTCATTGATCGGTCCGCCAATTGGAGAGTTATCATAGTAGGCTTCACTTCTCTGATACCCAACCTTTTAAAAATTGACAAGGGCATCAAATTGATGCTCGCCCCAAGATCACACAATGCTTTGCTTACCATTAAATTTCCAATCTCACATGGAATGACAAAACTTCCTGGATCCTTCAATTTAGGAGGTAATTTTTGTTGAATAATTGCACTACACTCCTCTGTAAGCATTATGGTTTCATCCTCCTGTAGCTTCCTTTTTCTTGACAACAAGTCTTTCATGAATTTAGCATAGCTTGGCATTTGCTCCAATGCTTCAAGCAAATGGGATATTAATGTGGAGCTTCTTAAAGACATCAAGAAATCTTGCAAATTGCGTCTCTTGCTCTTTCTTCTTCAACCTTTGAGGGAATGGAATAGTGGGAACATATTCTCTCATTTTACCCTTTTCACTCTCTTGACTTTTCTCTCCCTCATTCTCCTCTTCACAATTTTTCTCGCTCTTTTTTTCACTCGTATCACAATCTCCTCTCTTTGTTCTTTTCTCTCACTACCCATCTCACTCCTTTTCTCATTCTCTACCAATCTCCCACTCCTCAATTGAATTGCCTTACATTGTTCCTTTGGGTTGGTAATGGTGTCACTAGGAAATGTTCCAGGAGATCTCTCCGAGATTTGTCGTGAAAGTTGACCAATTTGGTTCTCCAAATTTCGATTGAAGCTTCTTGATTCTTGAAATTTGTCTTTGTCTCGTTCATGAAATTAGAAGTTTGTTCCACAAATGTTGAGGTTTGCTCAGCTTAACTTCTCTAAAGCTCTCTCAAAAGTAAACATCTTAGTTCCTTGGTTGTTAGATTGTGGTTGATATTGATATGGAAGCTTTGGCTGATTGGACTGATTTGATCCACTCCAAGGTTGGTTTGATGGGCTTCTCCAATTTGTATTGAAATGGTTAGCAAACTGATTCTCGATGTTGGCCCACCGCATTCACTTGCACCTCTTGTTGAGTGACTTGACATTCACCATTTTGATGCATTCCTCCACAAAAATCACATGTTAAAGGTGTTATCTTCATCGTTTTCACTTGCACATTATCAATCTTCTTAGTCAACTCTGGCCATTTGTCGTGTTAACAACTTGTTTTGGGCTAGGATAGCATCCAAAGTGTTAACTTCTAACATTCCACCTTTTCTATTCTGACGATCAAACTGCATATTCCCTGTATTATTTTCCATTAACTCAATCGTTTCCAGGGCTTTTGCTGGTGTCTTTAGATTGAATGCTCCTCCACTTGCTGCATCCAACATTGCTCTAGAAGAGGGTACAAGGCCATTATAGAATATCTGGACTTGTAACCAATCTGGTAAAGCATGATGTGGACATTTCCTCAATAGCTCCTTGTACTTCTCCCAAGCCTCGTACATAGATTCAGTCTCTTGCTACACAAAATTAGTGATTTCATTTCTCATTCTTGCTGACTTGGATGGAGGGAAGTATTTGGTCACAAATTTTGTAGTCATATCTTCCCATGTAGTGATGCTTCCTTGAGGTTGTGTTTGAAGCCAACTTTTAGCTTTATCCCTTAATGAGAAAGGAAAAAGCCTCAAGCGGATTGCCTCACTTGAAACTCCATTAAGCTTCAAAGTATCACAGATGGCTAGAAAATTCTCTAGATGAGAATTAGGATCCTCTGCAACTGCACCTCCAAATTGATTCTGTTGGATGACTTGTAGCAATGCAGGCTTGATTTCAAAATTGTTGACTTGAATAGGAGGTCTCACAATGCTCCCTTGGTAATTATTCACGTCTGGCATAGAATAATCAAGAAGAGTTTTCCTCTCTGGTTGTTCCTCTGCCATTGTTGATACGTGTTCTTCCTTTTTACTTGATGTCTCTGCTTTTCCTTTTTGTTTCTTCTTTCGTGTCTCACTTCTATTATGTCTAGCAGTACGTTCAATTTCTGGGTCAAAAAACAAAATTTTTTCTGCCACTGTACCTCGCATAAACAACTTAAAACGAATACAATATTCTAACAACAAAATTAACGTGACAACAGAAAAACAAACAAAATAATGAAAACAGAAAAACAAAATAGCTAAAATAAAAACAGTTTTGACTACCTAAAAACTAACACTCAAATCTTAAGCGAATTAGATCACTAATATCAACAGAAAAATCAATCCCCGGCAACGGCGCCAAAAACTTGATGAACGTTTGGCAAGTGCACCAATCGTTAACGTAGTAATAAAATATCGTCCTCTAGGATTGAATTTGTTGAATACTAGATTCCTAATATACGTAAGTTTGAGCAATTGAAAAGTTGGATAAAAGAAAACAAACACAAAATTATAATAAGAACTTTAGTCAAAATAAGATATGTTAGAGAATTGATTTCATACTCTTTCCTATATAATTCCCGTCCTTTCAATTGATGCAAGAAATGTAATTATCCACTTGAGTTTACCCAGAGTTGTTTTACCCCTAATCCCTTAGTAGGCAAAACTATTCATTGAATCCGAACCCCCAATCCCTTAGGTCAGTTACGCCATTCAATAGAATCATTAAAAAACAATAATCTTCTCTATTGTAAACTAATTAGATATATGCCCAATTTCCCAATTGTGACAAACCCTAACCTGTTATATTTAAGATCGCGAACAACCTCCAATCTCCCAATTGTGAAACTGCTCGTGGAATGAACTTGAAAATTATAAATAGAACACTGAGATAAAGAACATGAACTAAACATCAATTGTCAAGAACAAAAATATAATTCAGAGTACTACATCAATCCTCTAACAACAGGAAAATCAGTTCTGCATAATGTAAAAATTGCTAAAAGATAATAACTAGAACGTAACAAATTCTCGAATGGTTCTCCCCCCCTTTTCAGTTTCGTTCCACTTTCTTTATAGGGTGTCCCACGTTTTTTCTCCACTTGTTGAGGTAGTTACCACTTCTCATAATTGTCTTGAATTTCCACATGTTGTGGAAAAATCCACAACCCACCTGTGGAACTCTCTGACTTCAACTGTGTCTTCTGAACCACAAATCCACAGGTTGTGGAAACATCCACAACTCACCTGTGGAGCTCTCTGATCTTGATCTTTGCATTCTGGTACCAAATCCACAGGTTGTGGAACATTTCACAAGGTACCTGTGGAACTTGCTCCAAACTATGAATTTAAACCTCCAAACACCTATTTACAAGAACAATGCACAAACCACATGTATGATCCAAATCAACGATAATGCATGATGAAATCGTTCCCATAATGCAACAACATATGAAATTAACCTAAATTAATACATGAATGTAATGATATTTTATCCACTCATCAGAACACAAAAGGATATATACACTAAAGTGAGAGAGGTCATAATTTTTCAAAGAATAAATTGTCATTTAGGTCTTTAAATTGACAGGGTATCGTCACATTAATTTCTAAAATGACGAAAAAAAAGTCCTTTTCAAAATTATAATCCAAAAATTATACTAATTCCAAAATAAAAAAATGTGACTAAAATAATAAGATTAACATAATAATGAATTAAGTTTATAAAGTTATTTAATATTTTAGAAACTTATTGACATATTTTAATAGCAAATATTAATATAATAAAACACTTTAAAAGACTAGTGGTTAGTTGCTGTTTTTCTTTAATCTTTTACTCTTAATCTTTAAAGTGTTCTAACTTTTTTATATTATTAATTAATAGTTCAAAATGTGCACCAATTTTTCACAAATTTCTTAAAATAAATCATTATTAATAAAATATAAATTATTAAGTTTTTTACGTACATGTTTAAATTCAAAGCATATTATTTGTAGAGCTGGCACTATCTAACGCATACATTATTTAATTTCATGATAATTTATCTTTTAGTTTATTTGGAGTTTATTTTGTTCCTTATTTTTTTTAGTGTTTGTAATTTTAAATATATTTGTTTGGTTCTTATTTCTTAAATATAATTAACAAATATGTTTCGACATATTTAAATATATTATATAATATTTATTTCGACATATTTAAATATAAAATATTTGGACAGAAAGATTTTTTTTTAATTATATGAATTAAAAATATCAACTTTAATTTGAAGGACAAAATCAAACTTAAGTCAATTTGAGGAATTAAAATCATGTTTCAGCTAAATATTTATTAAATATTTTAAACGCTATGTTGAGAATTAAGAAACCCACGTTAGAATTTTCAGACTGGTAATTGTGTTTATAATTTCCGCATAGGCAAAATAAATATTGGATGAGAGTAATTTAATAAGCTGATGAAAACAACTCAAGTCTTAGATGATTAGACTAATTTCCCACAAAACATAGCATACATTTCTTCCCTAATTTCTGTACTAGAATCATTGAATTATGAATCTGGAGAATGTTTACACATCTACAGGACAAACAAACATAGAAAAGCAGAGGAAATATGAAACAACATAGAGAACAATTGATTACAAATCCTTGAAACACAGAAACCAGAGTCAAAATCCCGTCACCATCCCTGAATTGGCCACCGTCTACCGGGATCGGGAAGCCAAGAAGAGCGTTTCTTCTCCTTCTTTACAACCCTCTCCGCCACCTTCTTAGGCTCTTCGTGGGGAGATGAAATTCTTGCAAAGGAGAAAACTTTACCAAGAAGCCCCAAACCCTTTTTATTTTTCTTGAGCTTGTAACTGAAATCGTATTCCCCAGTTAGCCTCATCGATTGTGAGAGTCTCTCGTAGCCACATTCCAATGTCACATATTCTGATGAAAGCAGTATACGGTGTGACTTTGACAACCTGAAACTTCTGCTGAACTCCATCGACCACGAATTGAGGTTAACTCTTGTCGTGTTTTTTTCCTTTCGGTTCCAATCTTGGTTGAGTTCCTGGAATTATGGTACTTGGGTAATGGTGGAATGATTAGTTGGGTTGGGATAGATACATTTGATTGTAGATTCCTTCGTCGGTACAAGAAACGGAGGGTCAATTTTGGATGGACATTATTCAATTGCTGCGTCCCAATCCCAACCATGCGTGAAGGGGGTTGATTGATGTGACTTTAGAGTTTGCAAAACATTAATATATAGCTTTAATCTATGCGATTTCTTGCTTAGAATTGTTGGCTTTGACTTTTATCCGCTTAGTGGAATTCAATTCAATCATCAAAATCAAACCTTGTGTTGCCGAGTTGGCGAAAGCAAAGGCATGTCAAACGATAATGAAATGTTGGTGGGCTGGAGGATCATGGATGGAGGTTGGATTGCCTTCAGACCTTGGTAGGAAGAATTCATAAAAATTATCTATTTCTTTTATCTTAAAAATGTAATTTTAATCTAAGAAGTAGTGATTTTTTTTCTCATTGAATTTTTACTCATTTTAATATGTAAAAACTAATTACTATATCTCTTTTTTATTAAATATAAGAATGAAAAATAAATAAAAATTGTAAACATTAAAAACAAAAATATCATTCTGAGAAACAAAAAAGTTATATTTAAATCTTTATTTTACATTAATTTTGAAAATAAAATTGGTAATAAAAATGAATAAGTTGGATATTATAATATGTTTAGTGTCTCAGTTTTATCTTCTTTATGATAATAAGTTCAATTATTATATATTTAAATCTCTAATTTATTAAAGTTTCATTTTTAATAAGTATTTTGGTGAATTAAAAAAATGATATATATATATATATATATATATATATATATATATATAAATCATCTTGAATCTTAATTTTTAAATAATATAAAATTTATAACGTATCGAACTATAATTTATTAGTCAATGACTAGAAATGTGAGTAAGTGGACATGAAAAATGTTTTTTTTTTTAATTCCTCCACAATTTAGGTTGTGAAGAACTCCTACGATCACAGTCCAGGCTATGATCTCCTAAGATTTAACTTGCTGAACCCTGCCAAATACTGGAACCAGAGAGAGAGTGTCCTATAACACTCCAAAGCCGAATTATGGATATTCAAATGACAATTTTTATAAAAACTTATGCACTAGAGTTTTCTAATCCCAATTTATATGGTTATTAACGTAATTCTAATAGACAATTAATAAAACTCATTAAATATTAGTTGTTATATTTTCAATGTCTTTTTAAGAAATATAAATTCATTTATCATATATTATTACTATATAATAATAGATGTTAAGAATTTGAAAAGTTGGACAAGTACAGACATGCAAACATAATGTCCTACATCATGGTGAATTGAGAAGAAAAACAGCATGCTTTATTCTATATGACGGTGAATTGTTTAAAAAAGAGTTTTTGGATCCTCTCTAAAAATGTTTGGAGGAGGAACAAATATGCAAAGGAGTTCGTAACGTGATTTCTGTCTAAAGCTTCAGTGTCTTAGCAGTATGGTAACTAGCTAAATGAGTGTTGACATATTCAGACAAAATAGGTGAAAATAGAAGCATTGGATACTATCACAATGGGTTACTATCCCAGATCATCAAGTTGGATGGTAGAGATTAATTCCTCGGATCAAGATGCAAACGTTATATGTTTTAGATTTTGTTTATACCTTTTGTTTAGTATGTTCGCCGCCAACGATTATCCACGTGAAATTTGAAAATGCGCCAATTACCAAAGTCGGTGATTGAATGCATCACATCCTGTGCCTTGAATTTTAGAGGATAATGGGGTAATTAGTGTGTTTCTAGAGGTGCCCTTACCCGTAAATCATGGGATATGCCTTACTGTAATAGGCAACATCACTCCACGAAAAATAAAATCCATTTTTCTGTGGGTGACACATCTATGCGAATCGTACGTGACACAGGAAATGATAGGTAGTGAGTGGTACCATAATGTTTACAAGACAAACAGCACTTGGGAGTATCATAGGATTTAAATAGCACCAGAAAGCAAATAACACTCCCGACTCAAAAAAAAAAAAACGAGACATGATGCGGACATATAACTGCAAATATAGCTATCATTTGTCACACAAGGAATGATGCTTACTTTCCACCTAAAGAAATGAATCGTCATGCCATGAACTATGAGTGTAAGGACCGGGTCAACCCGTTAAAAGACTGATTCAGCACATTTGTGGGAGTTACAAAAATATGACATGATATTTAACTTGTTCTACATACACACCACATGCTAGACCCAATGGGTAGAAGTTGAGTATTAAAAGAGATAAATCCCTTCCAACCAATTTCAATACATGTGGACTACTTTTTATAGCATCATAAGCGGTAAATGCGCTGTACAACAGTTATTAATGTAGCATGTCTGCTTGTTCACAGTTCATTTTCATCAGAGTAAAGGCACTCATCCACGAGCTGGCGGAGATTGGGATTCTCCATGGCAGCAGCAACTCTTTCTTTATCATTTAACTGCTTGTTAACTGCACGTGGAAGATTTCAAGTGTTATTTGGAGATTAGGTCACAGGAAGAACAGAATCAACAGGAAACTGTGTTTCTCAGTGAGGTACAAGGGGCAAAAGTAAAAGTATCATGAAGTAGGCGGGCATAGAAGTTTTGGAGAGAATAGAATCACATATAAAATATTTAGTGTTTTTTGAGATGGTGTCTCTTCTGATGTTAAATGCTTCTGAAAACTGAAGGTCAAAAAGTGTAAGAGGGGAAAGGCTTAATCTTAGGAATGGATAATCTACAGGACTAGTCATGTTCAAATTCTCTCTCAGCAGAAATCAAATAGACCCTCTTATTTAATAAAAATTAAATATCCTCCTCCCCCAACTTTAATGTCTATCAAATCTACAAGATATGAACATGACCATATCATGTCAAATTTTTGCACAAGACAAGTCTTAAATGTTGTTATTTTAGCAATTGTTTAAACCTCACCTGATTCTTCGTCTGCATGAGATCCAGGAGAAACCTTGATGTCCACCTGCAAAGAGAAATTTGAATAATGGATGGGATAATTATGAGAGAGGAGGAAACAATATAAGCAGAGTGGAAATAATTTTTCAGAATTGAGAACTACAATGAACATAAAAAGAAAGAAAGCCTGAAGGAGCAAGGGGAACTAACACACCACGAACCATAAATGTCAAGTCTAAATAGTGGCACTACGGTGGGATGACCACTATTCTTACAATAAAAATAAAAAAAATCAAGGCAGAACTCATAAGAGAGCACAAGACAGGGAGATGATAGACCGGTTTCTAAGATATTAACAAACAAGAATGGACAGAACAAAGCAAGGCAGTTGGCTAGAAACAGGTTTGCCACAAAATGGCACGGAGCTTCGGCCAGTGTTTTAAATCTCAAATAGTGGCATGCAGCAGCCAGCCTCAAAAATTCTATAGCAGGTTAGTAGCTATTATGAATTTTTCTATATAGTTTATAATATATACTATATACATACAAAATGATAAAAATACTCAATATTCAAGTCATTGGTAGAGTCTGGTTGAATAAATTTCTCTATAAACATTTTTCAGGAGTGAAAAAAATATAAGAAAAGCTCTATAAGCTAAAATTAATTTATGGATAAACTAATTTATAAACGTTTTCTCACGTTAGCTTTTTCAAAATTTGATTTTCAACTTATAAACTAATTTTAGCTAATGAAAATAATTATTTTTTTTTATTTTCTTTTTCTAAAAGTATTTGTTGTGAAATTTATCCAATCAGACTCATAATACCATCAAAAGTTAATTACAACTTTCCAAGGTAGGAAGCATCAATCATCATCTTCTAAATCAAGCCCTTCTTCTTTATCATTTCCACAACTATTACAGCTATAAATTTCAATTTTTTTATATAAATTAAATCCCAAAATTAGCCCCCGCTCAAAATATAAGTCCTAACTTCTCTATTTAGAATTTTTTTGGAATCAACACATGGCACCACCATCTCGTCTTATAAGGCTGCTACGGCTCTCTTTGCTGCTGCAGTGCACTATTTAAAACCATGGTCTCGGGGATGAACAGAAACTATGGATAGCAGAGGTTGGGGATAATCAACTGTCACAGCTGGCCGTTCTAAGGATGCAGGGAAAAGTGTGGGTATTCCTCATAAAGAACAGTACATGCTAATTCATAACAGACTAAGGAGGGCTCAAAATGAGTTTTTTGCAACCCACTCCATTAGTGCCTGCCTGCTCCAGCCATGATTTTCTGCAATTTTGCCCGCTGCAGCCGCTACTTCAAACTCAAACGCTGATCAGTACATCCAACCCCAGTTAATAAGCAAGAATCCAATTTATTACTTTATACGTCTGGCACAAGCATCCCATCCCTAGGATTCATAACCCTCTGATTTTTGTGGAGTCAAATTCTTGTCAATATCCCATAATATATATACAAAGGACTAGCAAATAAAAATACCATCTTCAGCTTATATATTTTGATGGACTGAATACCATCAAATTGGAAGAAAAAAAATTACAACAGTTTTTGCAAGAAATCTGCGTAGGAAAAATACACACCCACCTTTTTCTATCGAACCAAACTAATCACAATTAACAATCTGTATATGTAAAATATTGAATCCGATTCAGATGAAAAAATTCAAGCAGTTATAATCAATAATGATGGATGAAAATCAAATGGTTAAGATCTCATGAGCATTTTATGTCTAATTTATCAAGGTAATTGACAAACAAAGCGAGAGGTGCAAATCTCGGATAAATAATTTTAGGATAAAATATGAGTCATCAGATTTTCATCCAGTGGTTCGATTGACTGAATGCATTTCAAAATTAGCATAGTGCCTGATTGATTCAAATCTTGGACAAGTTTAAAAGTTTGATTTACAAAATACAAGTTATCCATCTCATCTAACAGTTTTGATTGATTGCGTGACTGCATTAAATCCCTGACGACAGGGAATCTAGATCCATAATCCATTAAACACAACAGACAAGAAATTCAGCCCACAATTACAGGAAGTTTAAGCCAACAAAAACCTATTCTCTCCATTTATTTTTCTTCCAATTTCTTCTATCGTTTTATTCAGACTTTGCACGTTATCAATTCTTAGCCAGCTCTTAAGCCACAAAACTAAACAAACAAAAAAATGCAGGCTATGCAATCCACAAACGAAGACACCTTTCTAACAAGTATAGTTCGATACTTGACAAAAGCAAAAGCATGCAGGGGAGAAAATAAATCAATAGGAACAAACTTTGTAATGAGGAGGAAAGTAGTGCTTCAGTTTCACTCTCAGACAAAGACCAATAACCGTGGCCATGCTACAGTGCTGAACGGTCGGCGTAAACGTTATCCTAAACAAAAACAATTCAAAAGTGAACAAAACCATTAAATTAATAAATCCTAAAAAGAGAAGAGGACGAAACCGAAACTCACAAAATTCGGCCTAATTTGTCATCGACGGTGATTGATTCCTCTGAGAGAACGCTGAGCTGTTCCAGAGAATAAGGATGTTCGGGATCCCGAATATCCCTCACGAAATTTGTCAAAGCGAAGTCAAGGATCTCAAGAGTTTAGCAAAAATAGTGAAGTTAAATTTGGAATGAAAAAAGTAGAAAAAAAAAAAATCAGAAAGAGGATATCATAGATATCGAGAGGATCAACAGCGTGAGAATCTTCGGAACGAGCGATTCGCTCCTTCTTAGCGTGAACCACAGGGTTGGCATTGATCAGACCCAGCGTCATCTCTTTCTTTCCACTGTCACTTTCACTCTCACGCGCAGAACTCACAAGCCATGTTCTCGATTTCTCTATTTATATTATATGTTTCACATATTTGTTCCTCCATTTTGTTTTTCTTCTTAAGACGTGGTAGTGTTCTCTTATGCTGCGATAATTATCTTTTCTTTTGATTGGAAGGACCCGGGAGTAAAATTTGTGGGATGATGAAAATAATAGAAAAAAAAAATAATGCAAACAAAATTGAAAAAGAAGATCAATGATTAAAAATTATAATTAAATAATTTATTAATTATTAAAATATTTTTATAAAAAAAGTAAAGATGATTAAATATGCATGAAATATGAATTGATATATTTAATCAAATTTTAAATTTATTTTTAAAAAATTGTTTAATATGTGTCATGCTCTTTAATATTTATGTGTGAAATTTTTTTTGATAGATGAACATGAATATAAAGATTAATTAATAATATTTATTACGTTCTTCAATGTTTATGTGTGGAAAAATTATGACAGCTAAATAATAATGTTCAAAATAATTACTTGTACTTAAATGATGAGTAATCCGAACATTGGTAAAAAGAAAAAAATAAAATAAAATCCAACAAAATTACCCTGTTACACACCCATAGTTGTACGCTTTAAGCATGACCGTCTATATATGTTTTCCGTACGTACAAACAAAAACACATATTTTATTAAGTGGCAAAGAAATTGATAGTGGTAAACAAAATAAAAAAGAATTTCACCTTTTAAATATTTTATTTTTTTCTTCTGAAGAAAATTATCAAAATTTATATATTTTAAAATTGTCACTCTCTTATTTTTCTAAAATAATTGTAGAATAAAGTAATATATTTATGTGCAAATACAATATTCAATTTACTTTAACTATTAATTAATTATATTCAAAATAATATTATTTTAAATATATTTTTAAAAGATTTTTTCTATTAATAATATATAAATAAATAAGACATTATTTATTATAAATAAAACTTTATCTTAATATACACATTTTTTTCACCTTATTTTGTAAAGATTCAACAAGTCAATCTAAAAATCCTATGTATGGGAGGTCTTATTTCTAAGTTTAAGTATAAAAAGATGAAATAAATTTTTGTAATACTTAATTATGAATATCAAGAAAATATCTATTAAAACATCTAAAAATTATTTAAAAGAATTCTTATGATGAAAAAATATTATTTTAGTGTGGATATCAAATATAGAATTGAGATACATCACCATAATACCACAATGCATATTTTCGGATAAAAAATAATTACCCTTAATGAATAATTTTAATAATTAATAATCATTACCTAAAGGAAAGTATGTATGAACTAATATTCGTACATTTCTTTATACTTGTGCTTTTCTATCATAATATAAAAAAATTATAAATTCAATAATAAAAGAGAGAAAAAAATATCTATTGCAAAATAAAAAAAAATATCATTTTATATATTTTTTTGGAAAAATGTCAAATATTTTTTTGTTTTACAAAAGCATAATTATGATTTTATTTCGTTGATCCTAAAATATCTATCTTTGATATTATATTTTATATATAGTGTTTTTTTTATCATGTGTTATTATTAAAATTATTTACACCAAGTTCTATGGTGGAAAATCATTCATAAAAGTTTTTACTTTAAAGTAAAGTGAAGTTAAGTGGAAAAGGATAAAAATGGGAAGATAATTAGAAATTATTTGAGTGAAAATCTAAGTGATTCAAAGATGACTTAAGTGTAAACATGTGAAAGAGTTATTATGTGGAGATTATTTTTAAAACTATTTTGGAGACACTATAATCATTAATGGAGAAGAAATGATAAGAGAAACTTTCATAGATATGAAACAAAATAAATTTAAAACTTTAAATCAAGATTAAATGATTTACCGTCTAATCCTAAATTTAGAACCTCTTCTTTAGAAGAAATCCTGATGTTGATAAGATAACTCAAATGAGAAAAAAAATGAAAGAATAAGAGATTATGAATATAAATTTGATAATTATTTTGATAATATTAAGATGAATATTCCTCAAAACTAATTATCTTAACTTATATTATTTTAAATGGGAGAAAAATTTTGAATATGTGTTTGATTATCATGATTATTTAAAAAATAAAATGCAAATTAATCGTTATTGAATTATGCTACTAGTTGGTAAGATTAATTTCTTATTAGCAAAAAAAATTCAGAAAGAATTATTTGTTTTTTATTGAACAAAAATGAAAATTTTGATGAGAAAGAGGTTTCACCATATTACTATCATAAAAATTGACATAAAACACTGTAGTTAAGGTTTTATGATTGCAAAAGATTATCATAATAAGATGGATATCATCGTAATGAAAATTAATATTAAGGATTTTAAGAAATCAGACTCTATTTATGTTCATTCCGTTTGAAGAAAAGAAATATGCCAACAAAAAATCAATATTTCTTTTAGTTGTTGAATATTTTTTTACTTATCAACGTGTGATATTAAGATTTAAAGATAGAAATACTTAGTAGATGGAGTTGCAACATTACAAGAGATGGAAAATTGTTGCCCAAAACAATTAAGGTGGAAAGATAATTGAAATCAAATAAATCATTCCTTTTATACTCATAAAAGATAAACTTGAAACTTATACGTCTTTTAAATAACCCGATATCAAGGAGTTAGATATGTTGTTTCTCTTGAATTAAAAAAAATGAGTATGATAGATAATAGGGACACACAGAATGTGCTTAAGTGATGATATAATGATATCATTGGAGGATTGTAATAGAAAAATATAACCGGTTAATGAATACATGAATAAGACTAACATATTTGATCACAAGTACCATTTATAAGGATGATCAAGAACATGTATGAATATCAAGGTCTTGTCCCAATTGATGTAATTGTTTTGTATTTCTTTTAGCTTATAGTTATTCTTTCTTTTAACTTTGATTTGGGTGATATTTTTAGATAGTATTTTTTGTCTTGAGTCACTTAAAGGTGTCCGTAAGTGCACATGGAAGGAGACACACAATATTTTAATATGGAACACATGACCTTCACCTCATGGGTCAGACCTTATAAATCTTAGATCCACCTTTTATGCCTAATTTTATGGGATTTGAAATTTACATTTTAACTTATGCTAATTTTCTTTCATAGATCCACGTGCCCTTAGCTATAAATATTAATTGAATCAGTTAATTTGTTATAAGTTATGGAGAGTTAAATTCTTTTTTACTCTTGTCTTCTTTTGCATCATTAGATTAAGTGACGACTGATTCATCATTAGATCTAATTCCAAGTGACATGACTTCACTTTATTTATTCACAAGTTTTTTTTTCCATTCACTTTTAATTTTCCATCTTTATTTGTTTTGCATTATTCATCATTTCTTCCATAGTTTTTGCAACATAATCCACATGATATCTCATCATTCTAAACTCTTGGACCATTCTAAACATTTTGCTGTAAACTTTTACATTTATATAATCCTACTTGGATTAAATTTGTATCCAGTGATAAATATCTTTGTGTTGATTTTCATCTTGATCCTAAACTCTAAATAGAATTATTTCATCAAATACCTATCATATAACTCTAAAATTACTCATATTACTTATTCTTGTCAAAACATGTACTCTTATTAAGGGATATAATGAAATTAAGTAACATAAACATAATTTTCCATGCTAATAAAATAACATGAGCATAATTTTCATATTAGTGGTATCATATAAATGATAATATATGTAACATGATTATTAATAGTGAAAGTTGTAACAATGTTATTAACACTTTTTTTCTACGAAAAAAGATCATAATTCATATGGACTATAATGACTAATTGGTGTGCCAAAACAAGTTTTGATTTTATTTTTCAATGAAAAATATAAAGATGAGTTTCTTTGTGATTTTTTCACTCATGCATGATGAACATTTTCTTGTTAAAAGTCCTTAATAATTTTATAGAAAAGCACATATGATGGAATAAAAATATGTATATATAGTCTTACCCATTACAATGATAACTTTTAAGTTCATTGAAGTGTATGTTGATCAATTTTAAATTGCTAGAGTGTACAGTGAGAAAACTTTTTTTTTTAAAAGAGAGAAAATTTAAGATGATTGAGAATAAAAAAAATGTAGAAAAAAGAAAAAAAGTAAGTGCTATTAAAAGAAAAATATAAAAATAATAAATTTATAAAATAAAATAAAATCTCGAAATAATTTCTTAAAAAAATAAAATTGCTTTTATGTTTATTTCGTTAAGAATGACCTCTTTGATTATTGATTAATATATAATATTTAAACTTTAATTTTAAATTCATCCAATTCACTTTTTATAATATATTTTTTTCATTTCATTTATCTCATTATTTTTTCCTTTTCTTATTCAAATTTTTAATCCTTTCACAACAGAAAAAAAATGTTTTATCTCCTTTAGCTGCGTAGACTCTCTACAACAAGACTAGTGTTCTAACTTATTTTTAACCTAAAAACAAATAAAATTTATTGAATTATAACTTAATGAAAGAAGTATAGACAAAGAAAATATAGTCAAAAGAATTTGGATTAAATTACTTGGTCACTAAAGTTCGATAAATTTTACATTTAATCCTTATACTTAGAAACAAATTCTCTGAGTTCTTATAACTTACTTTTACTCCTTTTACTTAAAAACAAATTCACTTAGTCGCTATAATTTTAGATGATATAAACTAAAAGACATTAAAAAAATGGTATATGTTATCTCAAAAACTAAAAGGAATTAAAATAATACGTGTAGGAGCTAAAATTTGCTATTTTTTAAATATATCAATCAAAAGATAAAGTAATTAAACATAAAAGTTACTCATTAAACCCAAAAGTTAGTATATTCTCTTTTGTCTACATAAAATAAAATCAAAGGAAATGGTATTAACGAAAATAAGATAGAAAAAAATATTTCAATTTTTATTGCTTACTTGATGCAAAGGAAAGAGCTAATGATTTCTTTTAAAATCCAATTTTGTTTTTATTTTGTTAAAGAATTAAATAAATATTTAACATAAAATTAATGAAAAAAATTATTAAATAGTATCATAAAAAAAAATTACGCTAGCAGCAAGTTATATCATATCTGTGTAGATATGAGGTTGTGTTGCAAGTATGACAAAAAAAATTATAAATTTAAAATTATACCTTATAACTAAGTAAATAGAATAACAGATAGTAATTATATTCTTAATAAGGTCCCGTAGCTCAGTTGGTTAGAGCGTTGGTCTTATGAGCCGAAGGTCGCGGGTTCGAGCCCCGCCGGGACCAGAATTTCAATTTTAAATTTATTCTTAATTTTCATAAAATATTTTTGGGTTTATTCTTATATTTATTAAAAGTTTCGAGGATGTAGAAAAATTTAATATATATATATATATATATATATATTAATTTATCTCATAAACTCGCTTTCTTTAATATTAATAAAAAATAGTTATACCATATTTAAGTTAATTTTTAATATAATCCTAAAATAAAACTGGATAATTTTAACTAGTTCTTAAGGAATATTTTTGTTTTAACTTACTCTTTTTTTCATGCTTATGTTGGTGATAAAATAAGATAAATCAACTCGAAGTAGTATATTTTATGAACTACTTATAAAGATTGAAATATAAATTATGAAAAATAAAATAAAGAAAAATAGAAAAGAAATACTTATATATAAAAAAATATGATGAAGTTTTGAGTAATATGTTTGATTTATGATAAATATAAAGGATTTTTTTAAAATATTGTAAGACAAATTAATTAATTCAGAATAATTAGAAAAATATATATTATAAATAAAAAATACATATTACTATTGTAAAAGAAGTTAATGTAAACTATGGAAAAGTTGTATATCAATCGATTTCAAAACTATAGTTATAAGAATGGATGTATCAACCAACACAAAACAAAACAAAAACGATTAGAATCATGTATTTATCTAATTTTGGCACTCATGTATTTTCCTCTTATATAGTGACCATTTTTTTTAAGAACCGACTACTTGACCCATCATCTATATAAATTAATTGATTATGAAAAGGTGGTTTTGGTAGGGAGAGTTTTCTCGAAGAGAGTAATATAAATAAATCCACTGCTTTGAAAACACATGCACTCAAATATTTTCATGTTATTTCAAACCACTTAACCAATTTTTTTCCGTAGAACTTATCTAGTTTCTGAGTTACTTCCTAACAATGTCATCGTATCCAAATAAATACATTATCATCTCCTATTTCCATTGTTTCATCACAATTTCTCAAGTAAATCAACCTTATAAAAAATGAAAGGGAAAATAAAACGAGTCATTAGTTGTAATTAATGTATGCATCTGTTTGTTGTGTCCTCCTTTCCAAAGTTGTAAAAAGGAAAAAGGTGTGATTGAGTTGAGGTTGAGAGAGTGAGGAAATGGTGCACAGCGCGTACGATTGTGTCGAGCTGGTGCGTGAGTGCCCTGCCAAGATCGAATCCATCGAATCCTACGGTTCGAAGCTCCTCCTGGGTTGCTCCGATGGATCGCTCCGAATATTCGCGCCGCAAACAGAATCCTCCTCCGACGGCTCAAAGTTCTACGAGTTGGAGAGGAACCTCGTCGGGTTCGCGAAGAAGCCCGTGCTCTCAATGGCGGTGGTGGAGTCGCGAGAGTTCCTCATATCGCTGTCCGAATCCATCGCCTTCCACAAACTCCCTTCCTTCGAGACCATCGCTGTCATCACCAAGGCAAAGGGCGCCAACGTCTTCTGCTGGGATCATCGCCGAGGGTTCCTCTGCTTCGCCAGGCAGAAGCGCGTTTGTATCTTCAGACACGACGGTACGCCGATTCAAATTTTCCTTCCGTTGCGTTTCTCGATTGTTGTCGCGGTTAATTGAAATTGAATTGAGAGTGTGAGCGCGCGCAGGTGGCAGGGGATTTGTAGAGGTGAAAGAATATGGTGTCGTGGATACGGTGAAGTCCTTGTGTTGGTGCGGCGAGAATATATGTTTGGGGATTAGAAGAGAGTATGTGATTCTGAATGCTTCAAATGGAGCTTTGTCTGAGGTTTTCACTTCGGGGAGACTAGCGCCTCCTCTGGTCGTTTCTCTTCCCACCGGAGAACTTCTTCTTGGAAAGGTATTGTTCTCTTCTGTCATTCATTGTGTAGTATATTGGTGTATGTTTGGTTTTTATGTTGGATTATCCAAAATTACATTGAAATATTCATTAAGTTTTAAGTAAATTTTCCCATGTTTGGTTTCATCATGAGGAATTGACTTTGGGTTGGGTCCAGAATTGATTCTGAATTGAAGCAACTTGGTTGACTTATACGTTGGATCCAATATTTATGAGTTTTACCACTTACTCGCTTTTGTAACAAAATCATCCCAACATAAATCACTATTACTTCAAAATCAATTTTGTCATCGCTTATCCAAAAACACACATGACGTTCATGTCAATTCTGTGTTTCATATTGCTTGTTTTCTTAGGTTAGAGGAGGAAGTTGACAGTTGTTTTGTTTATGTATATTTTTAGGAGAACATTGGGGTTTTCGTGGACCAAAATGGGAAGCTTCTTCCTGAAGGTAGGATTTGCTGGTCCGAGGCTCCTTTGGAAGTTGTGATTCAGAAGCCCTATGCTATAGCTTTGCTGCCCAGATTTGTGGAGGTAACTCACTGTCTATAACAGTTTTATTGATCTTTGTTGTTGTCAAGAGGTTGTGGATTGATTGATGCATCGTGTTTCTCGGTTTCATTTTACAGATTCGATCTCTCCGAGCTCCTTATCCACTGATACAGACTGTTGTTCTTCGAAATGTACGCCATCTTTGCCAGAGCAATGATTCCGTGATACTTGCTTTGGATAATTCTATTCATGGCCTCTTCCCTGTTCCCCTTGGAGCCCAGGTATTGCTAATGTTATTGAATTATTGGTGCCTTTTTTATCTTTCACCTGTTTCTGGATTCAATGCACTACACTATCAAATTCGGTACATAATGTTGCAGTGCATTGTACTTAAATCAGAAGTTAAGGATTTTGATATTTTCATTGCAGATAGTCCAATTAACAGCTTCTGGCAACTTTGAGGAGGCCTTGTCATTGTGCAAACTTCTTCCACCTGAAGATTCAAGTCTCCGTGCTGCAAAGGAGGGTTCAATTCATATAAGGTTATATGCCATATTGGAATCTTCCTTGTGAAAAAAATAAAAATAAAAGAATAAAAATCTAGGCATATTGCCCCTATTTGGTTGAATACCTTTGATTTTAAGTCCATCTTAATTCTGAGCATTGAGCACCGATTAGCTGTCAGGTTAAGTTTGTATTATTTCCAATTTCTCACATGTTAGTTTCTGATTGCCTTCAAACTCGTAGTATTCAGTAGTTATGATTGAAATAATCTCATATTGTAGGTATAGGAATACCTGGAATTTGTATCAATGTGATTATGATAGCAAATGTAAACAAAAATAGAAATGTCTATTACTATTTGTCACTATGTTTCCTTGTATTAGAGCTTGTTAAACTTAGTAGTAGCTGATAGAAGTCTTAATAATAAGTGACCCCTGTTATGTTCTCATGTTAGTAAACTTATTAGTAGCTGTAACTAATTTTTTTCACCTAATATTAGAGAAATATGTTCTTTTCTGTTTACTACGTAATGATAACTAAAATCTTGGAATATGTATCATACAATTAGATTGTGGTCTGTACATTGTACTGGGAATTCCTACATTTTTTTAAATTATATCCCAAACTATCGGTTAGGCATAACCAGTTTGATATTGTGCATAGTTGTATTATTATGTTCATAACAATATGTTACAATATATGTGTTATAATCAAAATCTTTACACCGGTTATCTATAAAGTACCGATACTTCAATTTGCTTCACGTATTTGTATCCGATATGTATTGTGTCGGATACTTCATTGATAGGTATCAATGAAGAATCCAAACCTTTAAATCATTTATATTCAATAAAAGTTTAAGAAACATATATCTATCTATACAATAGAAACATATAAATACTAATTTTCATAAATCAAAGAAAAAAATTTGTTCTTATGAAGTATTTTAAGAAATTAATGAGAATGATAGTCTTATTCTTATATGTAAATAACAGAAAATATTTTATAATGATAATTATTTATATTTTTAATTTCTAAAATATCTAAGAAATGTGATTTAAAATTTAGATTTGCATGATTATAGCTTTATAGTGATTATGTTCATGAATTTTTTTTATATTTTTAAATACGTATATTATACTTATCGTATCCTACTTTTTTAAAAATTAACGTATCATCATATCCGTATCGGATACAAATCGTATCTAATACTCATATCATATCCATGTATCATAGCGGATAATTAAAACCAAGAATAGGTGTGTAAAACTCATTTCAGTGACATTCTGGCCCAGAATATTTGTGTACGTGTTGATATTGCCTTTCGTGCATTTATATTTATTTAATTAGGAGTTTTTCAAAAGCACATCAGCTCAACATATTAATCATTACTTTATATTTATCCAAAAGGGTTGTTAAATGTGTTTGTATCATGTTATAGATACGCTCACTATCTTTTTGAGAATGGGAGCTATGAAGAGGCTATGGAACATTTTCTGGCATCTCAAGTAGATATAACCCATGTGCTTTCCCTGTATCCATCCATTATTCTTCCAAAGACAACTATTGTTCACGAGTTAGAAAAGTTGGACATTGATGGGGATGCTTCATATCTGTCCAGAGCTTCTTCAGGTGTTTCAGATGATATGGAACCCTCATCAACATCTCATATGTCAGAATCTGATGAAAACGCAGCCCTTGAATCCAAAAAAATGAACCATAATATGCTTATGGCCCTCATAAAATATTTACAGAAGAAGAGATATAGTTTTATTGAGAAGGCCACTGCAGAAGGAACTGAAGAAGTCGTTTTAGATGCTGTTGAGGATAACTTTGCATCTTACAATAGGCTTAAGAAAACAAACAAGGTAAATAATCTACTTTTATTATATTTTCTGTTTTCTGCCCATTGAATACATGTACATTGTGTGATAACAACGATTTTGGGGGTAGAATTTACAACTCATACCTTTCAGCGGGAAGTCAACTAGGGGAGTGTTATGTTGTGTGCATGTGTATATAAAGATATATGGAGTGTGCATCATGTGTGAGAGCATAAACAGACTTGTTCTTCCCCTGACACACACGTTCAAGATTGATGATGAAGCTGTGGGATGCATGATGTTCTAAATTTGTTTTGGAAAATCTGAACAGTTAAATAATAATAATTTAATATTGCTGTTACTTAGTTATCATTTTGACATTATTGTTATGCGTCAGGGCCGTGGTAGTATGCCTGTTAGTTCAGGTGCTCGGGAGATGGCTTCAATATTGGATACTGGTTTACTTCAAGCATTGCTTCTAACTGGACAACCTTCAGTGGCTTTAGAATTACTGAGAGGTGTTAACTACTGTGATTTGAAAATCTGTGAGGAAATACTTCGGAAAGGCAACCACAATGTTGCTTTGTTAGAACTTTACAAGTACAATTCATTGCACCGGGAGGCTCTTGAACTTCTTCACAAATTGGTGGATGAGTCAAAATCTAGCAAGTCTGAAATTACACAAAGATTCAAGCCTGAGGAGATTGTGGAGTATCTCAAGGTTACTTTCTGTTTGGTTAAAATTGTAACTAATTTTTTCCTTTAAATATTCAAATTTTCACTGCCTCAAAAACTATCTGTTTCTAACAGTTACCTGATGATGTATGTTTGGTTTGAAAGTAGTAGTGTCAGAAATATGAGATTCTAGGAGATAGCGAGCCCTCAGTCCACAAAAGTTGTTGATGTATTTATTGGGGGTATTATTAACATTAGGTTCTAGTATTAATGGTGATTATATGAAGGTACTATTCTTTTGCATTATAGTGTATATCAGATGACACTTTGTTATTAAACATATGAACTTTTTGGTTCTGTGGCACTGATATGTAACAGCAAATGTTTTAGCGGATTTTACTATATTGGTTGATGGACTTAATTCAATTATTTTCCTCTGCATCAAGTTATGCTGGAAAAACGTTGTCTCTGTGAAGTCACAAATTAATTAGAAATGTGTTCAATCTCCATTATATTTAAAGTTTGCCAGACAACTCAATATCAAATAAATTGTTTCTGATTCTTGGTTTTTAATTTGGTGGGTTTCTGATGCAGCCACTCTGTGGGAGTGACCCCATACTTGTACTAGAGTTCTCAATGCTTGTTCTTGAAAGCTGTCCATCTCAAACTATAGAACTCTTTCTGACTGGAAACATTCCAGCAGATATGGTGAGCTCATATTTGAAGAAGCATTCTCCAAACATGCAAGCTAGGTACTTGGAGCTTATGCTTGCAATGAATGAGAATGCGGTATCTGGCAATTTGCAGAATGAAATGGTGAGGACCTTGCATTTTATTCCTAGGTTTTCGGGAATGAATCTATTCTGACTTTTCTTTTGGCTGGGGAGAAGGGGATGGGCAAAGATTTTATGAAAGTAGCCCTTAAAAAAAATATTGGTAAAGCATTATTTTGATGCTGCTTAATTTTTAGCATGTCCACACATGATTAATATATGAAAAAGTTATGTATTTATTGACAGTATTTGTAATGTAGGTCCATATATATCTTTCTGAAGTGCTCGATTGGCATGCTGATTTATGTGCTCAACATAAATGGGATGAGAAAGATTATTCCCCAACAAGGAAAAAACTATTGTCTGCCTTAGAGAGTATAGCAGGATACAATCCAGAGGCTTTACTAAAACGTCTTCCACCAGATGCTTTATATGAAGAGCGTGCAATATTGTTGGGAAAAATGAACCAACATGAACTGGCATTATCTTTATATGTTCATAAGGCAAGTACAAGTCATGTTTTACTGTGAAAGGAAGATTCTGAGATTATTTCATTTTCTGATATCCCTAATGCACTTAAGTTTATCATGTTTCATATTGAATGTGTAATATATACAATTGTTTTAAACTAATGAATATTATAGTAAATGAGTGTATTTTTCATTTGTAGCTCAATGCTCCAGAACTGGCATTGTCATATTGTGATCGGGTCTATGAGTCTATGCACCAGCCATCTGCAAAATATTCCAGTAACATATACCTTGTGCTTTTGCAAATTTATTTGAATCCTCGAAGGACCACAGCAGGTTTTGAAAAGAGAATTACAAATCTATTATCCTCGCAGCATAAAACGGTTCCAAAGCTTACTTCTACACCATCCATAAAAAGTAGAGGTCGAGGGTCTAAGAAAATTGCTGCAATAGAGGGTGCAGAGGACACAAAAGTTAGTTTAAGCAGCACTGACAGTGGCAGGAGTGATGGTGATGGTGATGCGGATGAATATAGTGAGGGTGGTTCTACTACTATCATGCTTGATGAGGTCCTTGATGTGTTGAGCCGCAGGTGGGATAGGATAAATGGAGCTCAGGCCCTTAAACTTCTACCGAAAGAGACAAAATTACAGGTATCCCTTGCTTGTTGGTACACCATAGTTATCAACAGTTTTGTACTGGTCTATGTTTTGCTCTTAGGAGTTTTGTTCTGTTGGGAGAAGGTTTATTTTGTTATACATTTATTAGTTTCTTCAATCTGATTGGTATAAGAAATGTATTATAATATACAGGACCTGCTTTCATTTCTCGGACCCCTTCTGAGAAAATCAAGTGAAATGTACCGAAACTGTTCGGTGATCAAGAGTTTGAGACAAAGTGAGAACCTTCAGGTAAGCATATATACCAGGAATAAAATGTTATCTATTGATATTTTTGGGGGGCTCGTAGGATAGGAGGCTGTTGTGGAGACTTTAATTTCTTGCTTCTGGATGGATTTATTATACAACATCATTGCCTCGAATGCCTTCTAGTAATTGTACTGTAGGATGCAAAATGGCAGAGCCAATGAGCCACACACTGTTGCATATTCAGATACTTGTGCTTTGTTAGAATGTAGCCAGTAGCATGATTTACTTTATTTCACACAGGTGAAAGATGAACTGTATAGTCAGAGGAAAGCAGTTGTGAAGATAACCGGTGATAGCATGTGCTCTCTGTGCCATAAGAAACTAGGGACTAGTGTTTTTGCTGTCTACCCAAATGGTAGCACTCTCGTGCACTTTGTCTGTTTCAGAGATTCTCAAAATATGAAAGCCGTAGGCAAAGGGTCCCAATTGAGGAAGCGATTATGATACTGCAAGGCTGTACCATTTGGTGCTCCAATTGTGTTGTTCGAGTGTGTTTTACCCACGGCACCTGCTGATTGTTTTTTTGCCATCAATTTGTGTGAAAAGTGAAATTTGATATGTGAAGAGCCTGAAGGTTTATCCATTTTCTTTTTGTGATGTAAATATTGGGTTAGAGGATCAGACATTTATTTTGAGCAGTGAAAGGGAGTAGATTTCCTCCCTCTTTTTTCATGTATTGTATTATTATCCGCACCAAAATATGAAAGTCAAATATCAGCATTCATTATTATTGACAATATAATGAGAATTGATAATGAGAACAATCGTAATCACAAAAATAACAATAAAAAAATAACGAGAACATTAGCAAAACTTGCCTCAGTTGATGATTGGCGGAAATTCTTTCTATTGAGATTAAATATGTTGGTAAATCATGATAGGCTTAAATAAGTTATAAGTTTTCTATGGCCTATTTTTATTTTTATTTTTATTGAGTATTTAATAATTTTTAAGTAATTATTTACTAAATCATAAACCTTTAAAGAAATTTTTATTTATATTTTGTTTCTGCTATTATGTTAATTTTTATTTGATTTATAATATATTTTAAAAAATTTCTCTTATCATCATAAAAAACGTTAGTTTTTTCAATATATAGGGATGTATTTTATCAGTATAAGTAATAAAGGAGACTTGAATGTATTTAAGTGACAGTTATGTTTTTTTTTTTAAATATCTGTACATTTTGTTTAAATGACTAATATATTTTTAAAAACAATATGTATACATTTTTGTTTTAATTCCAGATTATAACTCCAAAAAAATACTTTAACAATCAAGTTATCCTAACAAAATACATAATTTATGTATAAATCTATCGCCTTAAACTTCACTAACAATGGATCAAAATTAAACTCATAAATAGGAATGAGATCACTATGAATCTTGGAATCTCTTCCCACTCTACACTATTGTACCAAAACAAACTATACTGTTTAAGCAATTAAAACTTTTAAAACCATATTTTATTTTAGGTCAGTATAATAAAAAAACTCCAACTGTAGATAATCCCATGCATAAATGCCAAAATATGTAACATATTAATGTAAACATTTTATGTTTGGATCTAAATACTGTACATAGTATATTTATGCAAACAATTCCTATGTTATAAAAATATTATTTTTTAAAGAAACTAAAATGAACGAAAAAAGATAGACTTTTCCCCTTATTTCATGTTGAATTTTTCTAAAATTAACCTCTCTTGTAATGCCTCCTCTTGGAAAATTAAAAAAAAAAAAAGTTAGAATAAAGGAACGAAGAAAATTTAGACGAAATAGAAGACCCAAGTTCCACTTTTCTTTAAATGTCGTCTTTTATTTTTTATTCTATGAAAATAAATAATAGCAATTTTAACTTTCGACTATATTTCCCTTCTTTCATTTTATTTCCTCTATTTTTATATATATAAATTAACTTTAGTCACTTGTTTATCAGTATATAATAATACATTACTCTTTCACTGATCGTATAAATACTATTTTCCATACTTTTTAACGAAAATGTTAACTATGACTTCAGTATAGAAGAATCCAACACAAAATTAATATCACATTAAACTTTTTTTATTTTCTTAAAGGAGGTATTTAAAACAAATATTGAATATTTAATTATAATTAAAATTATAAGAGGAAATTTTAAAACAGGATATAGTATCAAAATATAAAGCATTTATAATATTTTTTTATTTTCTTTTTTATGATTAACGTTATCCCAATAAAAAAGGTACTTTAGAAAACACAATAACTGGAAGGAGAATCAGTGTTAGTAATAATATACTCACACAAAAAAAAAGTAAAAATTCTTATCAAATTAGAAAATACTATTTAAAAAAAGGGGTAAGATCTTTATTATTTACAATTAAAATATTAAGGGTATTAAATTATTATTAAATGGTCCCATGGTCTAGTGGTCAGGACATTGGACTCTGAATCCAGTAACCCGAGTTCAAATCTCGGTGGGACCTAGTTTGTTTTTTTTTTTTCTGTTTTATTCTGAATCATTTATATAATTAAATAATTCAATTCATTTTACTAAAAAAATTGACTTGACCCTATAAAATATTATAGATATACATATGTTTTAAATAATGTGTTTTTCTTAATTATTAATAATCAGAATTTTTTTTAATATATTGTTAAGATTATTTTAAAAATCCTAAATCATAATTTTTAATTTTAAATCCAAAAATTCAATAAAATAAATTCAATCATAAATTTAATCTTAAAATAAAAAAGAAATAAACTGAATTTATTATTTTTATTGGTGTATGTAATTATATTAAAGTGTCTTACATTAAGGATAAGATAGAGTAAGTTTTATTTAAAATTAAATATATGTTTGGCCATTGTATTTTTTTTTAATATATAAAATTATGACTTTGTCTTAATATTTTAAAAGTTGATTAATTAACTATTAAATTAAAAAACATATGAAAATTCAATCATTTAATCACTTAGTGAAAATACAAAAAAAAAATATATATATATATATATATATATATATATATATTATAAATTTAGTTACTTTAGAGTAACAACTCAATATTAAATATTATATTTATGTATTGAAAATTTATTAAATAACATATTTTTAATTTTTATATGATTGAATTTATCAATTTAAAAATATAAAAATAAAAAATAATTTTTTAAGTATATATCTACGTATAAAATATTTTTGTTTTCATTTATTTTAGTGCGTATAATTTTACTTACAACATATAAAATAATATTTATAATCTTTGATAAACTTTTCTCAAAGAGGGACATATACAAAATCAATTATACATCAACCTATATGCCAATATAATTTCTACTACATATTTTATTATTAGCTAAAAAGTTATTAAAGAAGTAAAACTAAAAAAATGACTTATACTAAAAATTTACTCATAATAACATACGTTCAAAATATATTATAAACATCTTTCTTAAAAGAAACATTTTTTTTACAAGTATATTTATTTTTTAAAGTGAAGAGGTTATTTGAAAAAAAAAAATCAAATGCACTCTTTCAAATTGATTTTTAAATTGAAAGGTGCATTTCGTGTTATAAGCAAATTATTAAATTACAACGAACTAAATATTAATTTGTTTGTTTCAAACACGCTTTATACTTGAAAAAAAAATGTAACAAATAAATAAATTTTTTATAGACTTAAATTAATAAATCAAATGCACTATGTGGATTATAAAAGTGCAGTTTTAGTTTAGTATTAGATGAAGTCAATAGAATGTTTATAATTTTGATTCAAATTGAAATAACTTTCATTATCGGTTTAAGAAAAATAATAATATTATTCAATTTTATTCTCTATTCTTAATAGAAAAAAAAAAAAAAAACTCATTAGCATGTCCTTTGCACATTACTTGTATGTGAAATTTATAGTATTAAATTTTACTGAAGGAACGTTGTGGAACCTAATGCATTTATTAAATATTAATTTATATTAAACACTAATACATACACGTGTGATATATCCACGTGTTGTTGTCTTTTCGTCAAAACCTAATTGGTGGAAAAACCAGAGTCCATCTGGACACAATTATTTAGAGAAATTTTTAAAAATAAAATTAGTTTAACGTTAATCCTGTTATTAGAATTATTTAAATTACTTACATAAGTAAGTAACTTTAATCTATCCGAAACAGTTTTTATTAGTAAAGTAATATACTTTATTTAAAACAAAATATTACTCTCACCAAAATTCATCTCACATCAACTCAACTGCAATAACCTAAATTTCCTTCTCATATTTAACATTTTAAAAATTTCATCTAATTTTTTTATTGAAAAGTTATCTTAAGTTTTTCAATTATATTGGTTTCACATTATATGCCACATTTTTATATGACTTATATAAAATCATTTTACTAATTTTAAAATACTTATTTGAATAAATATTACTTCTTTTTATTCTCTTCTATAAGATAATTTTAGTAAAAGATTTATCTTCATATAAAATATTTTACAATTTAATAAATTTAGATTTCAAATTTCCTTATATGATGATTAAGAAATATAGAAGTTTAATAATAAAAAAAATTATATTTTTTGTATGAGTGGTTTTGTTCATGTTTGATAATAGAAACTAAAATAATATTTTGATGCAAAACTCTTTATGTAGCAAGTTGTCCATTTGATATCCAACTCATCAATCTTCAATGAAAGAAAAAAATTAAAATCAAGCTTTTAATTTAAGAATATCTTAGAAACCACCATTAAAGCATTAAAGATGTTATTGAACATTTAATAAGAAAATGTGTACAAGTATAAAAAGAAAAAGAAAAATAAATAAATTTCATTTATGACATGTAAAAGGACACGTTCCCAGAGTTAGACAATGTTGTCATGACGTGTTGTTCCTCTAAATAAATGAAATTATTCAGATTTTGGGTACAAGATTTATATGTATAACATTTTTTAAATTACTATTTTTACTTTTTAATCATAAACTAAGGAATTAACATTTCATGCATAAAGGAAAAAGAAGAAGGTAAAGCCATGTTCCCTGTTATTAATGCTCAGCATGTTTATTTAATTTTTGTAGAATTAAAACATATTAGTTGTCGTTATTCATACATATGTAGTTAATACATTAAACGATATTGCTTAAAAATTTGTAGACAAAAAGATAAAAGAAAAAAAATTAGATTAACACAATATAAAGTACAATCAAAACTCATAATGAAACTTAAATAATACTTTTCAGATCCCCAGAAAATGATAAAAAATTAATTATGAAACGAAATTCTATCAAAACATTTTGACTACTTTAACATTAAAGGGAATTTTATTGAATAGTTCTTAAATTTATGTGGCAAGTCCCACGAAATTAAGGCATGCATGCACTGCGAATTCGCTGATAAACTTTCAAAACAAATGAAAATAAGATTAACAGGCAATAATGTTTTATTATAACATCTTAAGTGCTAATTGCATAAGCTACTTTTACAAATAAGAAACCGTTATATTCTGAATTAGATGAAGTGGTTGTTAGATATAACTTTAACATATATAATCATATTTACTTAATCAAAATGTGAGTGATGTGTGCTGCTCATATGTGGTGGTAAAAACAAAATTAAACATTGAAATTCACTTGGAAGAGTGATATCATTTGAGAAAAAATATTTAAGAAATCTTAAGTTAAAAAAAAATACAACATCATAATAGTTTTTCTTTTGGTAAAGTAAGATAACATTATCATTATAGGGTTACATAAAAATTACAATAGCTTACATTTTTGTATATATATTATCCACCGTTATGAATCAAAATGAGATCAATGCATATCAGCACTAGATTCATATCTATAAATTATGGTTTAGTGTTTGAAAGATCACATGCACCAAACCACAAGAGCAAGCATGGAATATTGAGACCGAAATCCTTATTTAACTTTCAGCCATTGTGGACAAACGCAAGAATACTTGAAAAGAAAGCAACTGATTAATCTTCAGGACTAAAATCCTTTCATTAATCTCCCCGCTGCACAATCATCATATTATATAAGCACAGTATTAATAACTTGTACTTTTCTTTGACAACTTGCAAACTTTCCATATGTAGTTTAAATGACGCACCAATTACTAGTTTTGCAGTGTCCTTTCTTGAATCGAGTGTCCTTATAATATTCACTTCAACAACTTCCTACTTCTTTGTGTTTCCCACCACTCTTCTACAGTTCTTCCCATTGTTTTCACACTCACTTACTTCCCTTTTCGCAGTCAAAGATTCGTCCTAATTTAGTGACTGGTTGTCCAAAGGATTTTCCCTTTCTTCCCATCTGAAATTCACTTCTGATTTTTGTAGCAATGACATCAGAAACACTTTCTTCTCCTAACACCAGTCTAAGATGGACACCCCAGAAGAACAAACTGTTTGAAAATGCCTTGGCGATATATGATAAGGACACCCCTGAGCGTTGGAACAACATAGCCATCTTTGTTGGAGAAACTGAAGTTGAAGTCAAGAGGCAATATGAGATGCTCCTAGAGGACATCAAAAACATTGAATCAGGCAAGGTTCCCCTCCCTGCTTACAGGAGAAATGCTGGATGTGCCAAAGCGACCATCAGCAAAGCAGAGCAAAGGTAACATATGTGATTCCCCCATTAGCATTGCTATGGAAACAAATTTATCGTTCCCCCATAAGTAGTGTTGTTCTTCTCTCAATGAAACTATTAATTCCCAATAAGTATGACTTCACTGATTAATGTTATGCCACACTTTTCAAATCACGGTTTCCCTAAAGGGGATACCTCCTTAAAGTGATCAATGGCTATCAATCCACTACCTGCCAAGTAGGGCCTGGTATCCTCATCTCCCATGAGAATAATATTTTACAATAATTATTAACTAGAAAATGTAGGACAATTCGGAAAAGTTCTTTCCCTACCCCACCTCAAAAACTGAGGCAATAGTTGATGCATGTAGTTTGAATGCAAAAAGCACCGGTTGTTTCACTCTCTCATGCATATTGTTAGAGATATAGGTCAATGTTAACATAAATTTCTTGGTAAATAATCATAGAGGAAGAAAAGAAAAAAGTAAAAGTTATTTTATAAGTTAAAATTAGTTTATACATAAATTAAAATCAATTTTTACAGAAAATAATAATATTTTTTATTAAAAAATTATTTATTTTACCTTTTTAGTTTCTTTTCTTTTAAATGTTTAATAAAAAATTAGCCCAACAAATCCTTAGTATGGAATTAGTTATTAGTTAATATAGTTCGATGTAATTTTAATTAACTGATGTTGTCTCATTCTCTCTTGTTTTACGCTCAACCATGTCTTTGAATGATAGATCATTTTACATGCTTCAAAGACGAAATATTAATTCTAATGAATATTTTATTGCATTTTTTCTTACGAAGATAACATTAGTAACTACTAGTTGGTTAATTCATGCCTAAGTATAGAAAGATCGTGCGATAGAGTTTTCACCCCCTAATGATTGATACTTTTAACTGAATTAAGACCAATTTATGCTTCATGATGATGTTTAATGCATCCGTGACCTAAAGAGGGATGGGAAAGTGGAGGATCACTATATAATATTTCCTTTGTATTCTAATTGCAATTTTTTTGTCACAAACTATGTACAGGCTGAGGGATTTAAAACTGTGAAGAATGACCTTCAAAGTGAAGAGGGACCATTTATGGAGAAGTCATTTTAGCATTGATCTACATCAACTTTTGTTTGTCCTCAGAACTGTGTGTTTTAAATTTCTTCCATGTTTAGCGTTCACCTGGCATCTCTTTTATATAAGGACAGATAAAAAGCTTAAACAAGCATTCCTGCAGCTTCTTATTTTGACAAATTGAGCATAATCCGCAAACTACTCCTATACTGAAACAGGACCGGAATATTAAATAAACAAAAGAGATTTAATTTTGACTACAGTTGAGTATGCTCACAGCGGACCTACAAATTCTACAATAACATAACAATAAAGTAAGGTCCCATATAACTAACTATATTGGCTCTGATTAGAAAATAAAATAGACTTTTTTCATTAACTAAATTAAAATCAGAGTTTCGATAAATTAATGTAAGAAAACTAATACAATTTATCATAAGTATGTGATTATGTGGGTTTAAGTAGTAAATAAATCATTAGGAAAGGGAGTTAATCAGTCAAATGACCAAACTACTTGGCAGTGAAACAGAAGCATCACAAATATATCATTGCTGTAGTCAAGCAAAATCATGCATTCTATAAGGCCACAGGATATCTTATAAACTCTCTTATCATTCCAATGATTATGATTAAATACACATTCTAGTGCTTTGTAGATGACTGAAGGGGTACAGAATCACCTTCATTTGTGCTGTCGCCATTTTTCCCAAATAGCTTTGATGCATCTACTATCTGTTTCAAACAAAAATTATAGTTTACCACTTACCACAGTGCGGATATCACAGGCGGAGACCTTATTAGACGCGTAAATCCACAGTAGAATTTTACCTTTTGAATTGTGCTTCTCAAGCATGTCTTGTGTTCGTCTGCGGAAGCATGTATAAATTCATGAAAGTGATTTCTTAATTGAGACACGAAGCTCCCATTGTCAGACTTTTTTCTTTGGCAGAATGAGACTCTTGATGCTGATTTGACTGGTTGTTGCTCATCAGCTTGCTTGTTGTTGGAATCCATTATAGCCACCACCTAGCACGATTATGTATCTTGTTTAAAAATTGATCTTGAATGGAACTCACTTCCCTTTTTAAAATTCATTATTGAGCAATTTAATATAACACATGCTTTCACTGAAGATTAACTGTATAGCTTGACCATTATGAGCCAACTATATAACAAAATTGACTAAAAGAGGCCAGTTAACTGAATATATTAAAGAGACTAAATTGATCAAAGTGTGTAATCTTGAATTTCAATTTAAATTATCACTCCATGTTTTCATGCACCGCTTACACTACTTCCTAAAATTAAAAGTTACATATGTATTTTATGGGATACAATTTAAATTAAATGGACAAAAAAGATGCAAGTCAAGAAATGCAGAAACATGTGGAGACACGAGTATAAGTCTTAAAAAAATAAGTTTACATCGTTGTAATTTGCAATTATTCACGGAGCTATTTCACTAAGCCCATCAAATATCTGTACGAAACATTCGTAAGAAAAAAACAGTAACTATCAGAATCGTTGCTTTGAAGGAAGCGTCTAATTAATTATAGATACGAAAACGCATGCATGGAAAAAAGGAGAAAGAAGACCATAGGCAAACTTACTTTGCGTTGCGCGAAACAATTTGAGGAAAGGGAAGAGCAATGAGTGGTTGGTGGAACAAAAGAATGGTTTCGTTTCGGGCAAGACACCAACGGCGTCGAATTCGAGATTTCCGCTGGGTTCTGGTTATATTACGGTCACACCGCACACAGCATTCAAGTTCAGGACTGGACAGGCCCTCCTAAGTTACAACAGCCCAACCCAAAGCTCAATTTATCATATTTTTATTATGTTTTCAAAATTCAATAAAATAAATTTGTTTTAAATATTTGATAAAATAAAATCTCTTAGAAATGAAGAGATATCTGACTCAGACTTAAAACTGATTAAGATACTAACTCAATCCTACTAAACAAAATCAACTCAATATAGCGAGAAGTATACTCATTTATCATCTGCAATCTACTCGAGATTTCATTTCACTCCCACGACTCAAGGTAGATTTTTCATGACACCAGATATTTTTCATCAAAATCATTATAAATATTAAAATTAATAATTTTAAATACATGATGCAGTACAAAACTGCCGCAAAGTGTATAAATACACTGAGGAAAGAAGAACAATAAATCCTATTAAATGATTAGAGGACTGAATTAAACATTTGAAGAGAGGAACCGAATTGAATAAATTAAGAATTTTTAATGTAAAATGTCATCTTTGTATTTGGTCCTCAAAAAAGAAATACTAGCTCTGCCCGTGTACCAAATAAACCTAGTATTGTTTGAGTTGAAGCTCTTCAGCAAATCAAGCAAGTGTTACATTCAAACACTTTTTTTTAAAAAACTAGTTCCTCAACTTCAACTGTTTTCACACAAAGAAAACATAGAACTAACAAGTTTAGTCCGCCAACTACGTGCTCAAAATGTCCACAGGTGCTTCTTATGCACGTGTGGTTCTGTTGAATGAACTTAATTTGATTAAAAATACGTGCTCACAAAGTTGTTCTAGTGTTCATAATCAAGTCTTTCCCAATTCTCACATATGATTCATAGGTATGTAACCAGGAAATAATCCAATATCTTGCTGCTTCAAAATCCAAATCAATTTTACAGGCATCACCCCATCCCCTCCTAAGGAAAACAAAAGAATCCATCTGAAACATCAGAGAGGCAGTGAATCCATAATGCCTTCCGAAGGAAAAATATTGGTTTTGAAAATTCTCTTTTAAGTTGGACAACAGCCTCAGTCAAGCATATAGATCCTAGAGGCAATGTCCTGGACCAACCAATCAAATCCCTCGAGCAGACCCTCACCAGTGTATGCGCTACAGCCAACTATCTGCCAATGCCGAGATTTATCCATGGCTTCCAAGTTCAGCACCTACATGGTTAGAGTATATTATAAATAATTGTAACTGAAGTTACTCGTTTGCGGTTTCAGGGTCTTAAGGATATGAATAGTTTAAAATTTTCTCTGACATTTAGTTCCCGTGTTTCCTGAAAATAGATAAAATTCAACTTTTGCCCATACTTACAGAAGTACCAAATAAACCCATTCCTTGACCCTTGACCATTCAAGTAAATTGGAATCATCAACTCCTAAAATCATTTCAAAGTTGTTGAATCTGCTAGGACGCTTTTCTTGTGGAATTTAGGAAATTGTACCCAGTTTAAGGAAGAAACACCATATAAAATTAAGCTCACCTTAGCTATTTCTTCAGGTGTAAGGGCACCTTTTATGTCTTGTTTATTTGCTAATATCAGTAAAGATGCTCCAGACAGCCTCTGTTAGAATCAAATAGAAACATTGTCAACACCGGGTGAATATAAAAGAAAGAAGTGTAATCACATAAGCATTCCAAATTGATAAACAACAACACACAAATACACTTTACTTTCTTAATACAACTAACAACAACAAATCCTTATCCTACCAGTTGCGGTGGACTACATGAATCACATAAATCCGTTTGGTTCAATTAAAGACCATAGTGTCAAAGGAGTAACTACTTATGGTGATTGGTTTGACACTACTACTACTACTACCAATGATCCTTTGGAGTAGTAAAAGCATTGGATCAAGAACAAAAATCTCTAACATTTACTCAATGCAAAGTATAAACTTTAGATAATATAAGCACAAAGCATCAACAGAAGTGTAGAACTTAATGCCAATCAAATAAAAGAGAGACATAACTTGGAAGTCCTCCAGAAGCATGACTAAATAATATATCTTTAGTTATCAACACCAGTAACATGTATACAACTTGTTCATTCATAAGTAAGAAACATTTGGATTGAACAAACCTCTTCCTTGAGAAGGTTATCCAACTCCAATTTGCAATCATCCAACCTTCTCAGATCTGAACTGTCAACCACCCAAACCAACCCATCTGTTTGCTCAAAGTAATTTCTCCAGTAAGATCTTATTGTTTTCTGGCCCCCAACATCCCATATATTTAGGGTGTACCTACCAATGTCAATTGAAACAATAAGGTGAAATGAAAGCAAATAATTTGAAGCTACGCACATAATGAAGCTATCATAATGCGACTGAGGGGTGAAAAGTGAAAAAATACTTCTGGTAAGTAATGGTTTTGATGTTGAAGCCGAGCGTGGGACTGATGACGCTAGTGTCCTCTCCATTTATCTTGAGAACGATTGTGGTTTTCCCCGAATTGTCCAATCCCCTGTATAACAACTGATTCCAGCTTATGGACAAAGAAAATCAAAGACGAATTGGAATTGAAGGAAGAACTTACACCATCAGAATTCTCATTTCCTTCTCTTTCCGCTTGATTTTTCTGATGATGCTCAGAAGACCCATTTGGCTCCCAAACTCTTCGATTCAACTTCGAACCAAAAATGCTTTCTGAATCCTCAATTAATTTTTTTCTACCTATTGTACGCATCTTTAATTAACAAAATAAAATTGAGATTTATGTTTTTTCGTGTAATTTTTCTTAAACTTGTACTTGGTAATTGTATTTTTAAATTAATTAAAAATTAAAAAATGCGATTCTAAACTTTTTATATTTAAACTTAATATTTACTTTGATATTGTTATAAAATTAATAATAGACTAAATTTATATAATATATTATTCTAGTTTTTTTACTCACAAAATTATTAATAGAACTAAATTTCATTTTTTTAATTTTAAAAGTAATTAATTATTTTTTAAAATATAATAATTAAAATCAAATTTGACTAAAGTTAAAAAAAACATATTTAACCTTAAAAAGTTCATATTAGGATAATATTTTATTATGAATATAATCTCTAAATATAAAATAAACATTATTTTTTAGAGATTATGAATACTTATGAAATAAGATAAAAATTATGTTAAAATATATAATCTAGAAAACACAAAGCCATAAACTCAACTAAATTTATTTGGGTGAGAGTAAATATTAAAAATATCTTACTTTTAAAATATAGAAAATAATTTAGTTATGAATTGCTAATGAAATTAATTATTAGTCTATCATTATTTTTGTTTTTTGTTGAAAGAGGGTATTAGTGATCATTATCTATTTATAATAGATGTACATAGTAAAAAAAAAAAAAAAAAAAAAATAAAAACATATCTCCGTTGTTACGGTCGAACCTTTAGACAGTGCAATTAAATGCTTTTAAAAAAAATATTATCCTTTTTCCGGGGAAAAAAATGAGAGGAGGTGTCTATGTATAAACAAGGTTAAAGCATAGGGCATGACAAATTATTTCAAATAATGTTTTTAAAAATATAATTTTAACAACAAGATAATATGCACCTCGTTGTCTGCAAATCTTTACATTATTATTTATAATACTAGTAATTTTTATTTTTTTCATCTCATGATACCAATTTAATATTTTAGTACTCTCTTTCTTAATTTTTTAAAAAATTTTAATTTGTGTTGTAAATTTTATGGATAATATACTTAAGTAAAATTTTATCGGTTAAATTTGTATAAAATAATTTAAATACGTTAAATAAAATCTCATACTATTATTAAAATAACTATTAGCTATAAATATTATCCAAAACACTATGGTATAATTTGAGTTTTATTTATAATTTATAACTTCTTTTGTAAATTTTTATTTTTATTTTATAATTACATTATTTAAACTAAAAATATTTATTATTATTTTAAAATTAAGTTATAATTCTCACAAGAGTCTTTCATTTTTTTTATTATATTTTATTTATGAATAAAATTTGAATATTATTGTATATAATTTTGGGATTCTTATAATTATTTTTTTAGTAATAAGTAATAATTTTTATCTTTGATTTTTATCTGTATGGATCAGAAGACGACTTGATTAATATATTACTCATAATATTGATATAATATAATTTTTCTTAAACCAACTTAATTATGTCAACAATCCGACATCTGACCAGAGAATGTTACATGTGATAGTTATACCAAAGAGAAGCTATCACATGGTGTTGTGACTTTATTATTTTTAATCATCATTACTTATATGTATAAAAATTGTGGACCTGATTTTACTTTATATTACTATATCAAAATCATTATAAACATTTCATAAATATATTAGTAATTGTGCTAGAATATGATTTTAACCACTAGTGATTTTAATTTATTCCCTACCTAATTTTTAATCGATTCTCTATGTGATTCTAATTAATATCGTATAATATTTAACTAATTTACTAGTGATCTTAATTGTCTAATTGTTATCAAACAAAAAAATTAAATATCTTATACTTTAACCTCTACCTCGAAAGTTCGGACATTGTATTATTGTCAAAGAAGGAAAATACAAGCCGAATGCTTTACCAGCAGAGTTTTGGAATCTTGGATTTTTATTTTTTTTCTAAAACAGATATTCCATTGTTTTTGACAGAAAATAACGATATTCCTCCAGCACTGTGCCCAACACATAGTCGAGGCAGATGAAGTAGTATATATACTCTCCCGTTCCATGAGAACTGACAAGTATATCAGAGTCAAAATTTATTTTGCAACTATATTAACACCACTTTGTATAGACAGGTTTTGAAATTTTTTATCCCACTCAAATTTTGACCCAATCTGGTAAAAAATTTAGCTAACCAGAAATCCTGACTTAAATTTAAAAATAAAAATTCAATCTTTTAAAAGAAAAAAATGGCTAATGGACTGGCATCATGGAAAGATCCAGATTGGACTTAAAAGGGCTTGTGATTCTTTACCCTGTTATCAAATTAACCACAGCTAATTTTATATACTCTCATCCCATAAAAATTGTCATCCCAAGTTTTTTCTACAGACTACAAGAAAACTAAAAAGAATTTAAACGAAAACAATTTTACAATCATTTTTATTTTAATTTGTAACGTATATCGTAATATTATTAGAGGTATAAAAGAAAAAAGTAATTAATTATACATTGAAAAACTAAAATAACACCTTTTAAAAACTTACCTTGTTTTTACTAGACAATTCAGGAGCAAGAAAAAATATCACAAACAATCCAAGACGAAATTAATTTAATATTCAACCTTGAAACAATAGATTGGCCAACATTAAGCTTCAGCTTGAATGGCAAATATGACTATGAACTAAATAAACCAAAGGAGACAAATAAATAAATATTTCATTAAATCGCAGAAGGGGTTCTAATGCCAATCCAGATTACTATTCAACTAATCAACATGTCACTGCAATCCTCAAATTTATGGAAATAATCGGTTTAAAACATTAACGTACTGGCACACTTAAGACAGACCACGGACAAAATTCTCTTGACGTCTTGTATGTATATAGGGAATTCGGAAATTCGTTAGTGATATAGGCCGTATGTATTGTGCCACATGGTCAACTTGCTCCTTTGCCAAGTTGTGGAGGTGGAAGAGAATGTACAAGCAAGAATACACAGGAACATCAATCTACCGTAGCTCTTCTTGTCCCTCAATAAAGTGGTAGTACTCTTTTGCTCTACAACATTGATCCTACATTGGACTGATTCCTCCATGCTTAATTAAAAAGTTAATTTTCTAATCAATATTAGCTAGTTGCCGGGGAAAATTTTTCTCAATATACATTGATAAGATGACCAAAACAATACTAATTCATGAGCCTTGGGGGCTTTAGAAAGTATACGCTCCTCACAAACCCTTTCCCAATTTCCCCCACAGCTTTTAACACCTTCAAAGGGTTATATTCTTCATCAACCACTTCCTCGTGCTTCCGCTTCTTTTAACAAAGGAAAAAATGGTGATCAGCAAATCTATTTGTTGAGATTTGTAAGGAATTCAAAATATATTTCGCAAAAGCCAACTAACAAACACAAATTTTATACCTTGGAAGAAAATGATTCCCCCCATGTTAGGCCAATAATATCCCCTCCCAGATAATCATGCCATACTTGGAATGAGGATGAGAACTCATGCTGCTAGTGATAAACGTTAGTATCTCATCAGCTAAGAGGATATTGTGCAAAGGGAAAACAACAACCTTTTCAACATCAAATCGCTATCACTGTACTTGCCTTTAAATCTCTGATAAAGCACTTTGATGGATCAAAATCTACCAGCAACTTATTTTTAAGTTCCTCTGGCCTGCCCTTCAAATCTTTTGGCAACAAAAAGGGTTGAAAACACTTGCTGGGTTGTCCTTCTGCAACATGCGTACCTGCCAACATAACAATTGAGTGAGAATATCATTTGATTAATTAAGCATAACTTGTGAAAGGAAAACGAATGATGTATAAATGTAAAGATCAAGCTATCAATAATTTAGATTTAACATATTAATTCTTTAGTCTAATGAGTTTGAACCCATGTCATCCTAATTATAAATGTATGTTTCATACATAGTACAACATTTTATATAATTTCATCACACTTGACCACGCAGAACAATTTTGTTGACTTATGAAATAATCTCTCCACCGTGCTACAATTATAACTAACAACCAATTACATACCCGTAACCCTTCACCATCAAATAATTTAAGGACTGTTTAGAAAGTAAACTATCAGCAATAATTGTACCATGATTAACATCTGAAGGGAAGAGAAGCCTTTGGGGATACGGGAGTTTGTCCTTGTGGAGAATAATTACAGCATCATAATTGTTTAGCGGAGTTCTGAAAAGGCACTGCAGCAAGAATTGAGAAGCTCAATGTCTCCCGAAATATATATCTTCAATTAAAAGGTGAAATGAGAAAATAACTGAACATTTTCTGCACACACCTCCCATCTGTATGGACCAGTCTCTTCCTGAAATGCGAGTTTCGTCAGCAAATTGGTACTACTTCGGGCATATGCAACTAACCTTTTCAGTTCCTGGTAAAACATTGATAAATAGTCACAAGGCAAAAAATGTCATTACAAACACAAGTTAACAAGCGCTTAAAACAGATGCAACAGAATCATTGGAGTAAACAGCGTTAATATGCAGACATCAAGGTTAAAGCATCAACATATCAGAATACTTATGGATAGAAAACTTAAGAATACAGTTAACTGTGAGAAATTCGTAAAAATTTTAGACACACTCAACTTTTACCAAACCCGAACTACGCAAGACACTCTTGCTGGAGGACACTCTTGCAGAAATTCATTTTAGTTAACCCAAGCTATAGTATATATATTGTAGAGAATTATTCCTTGAATTATGTGACAACAAAATGGAGGAGTGAGTGAGTAATTAAATGAAGAAATTTCAGGGCTTCAGGTTTTATGTATCTAATAAACCTCAAAATTATCTCTAATTTAAAGATAAACTAACCATTCCACTGGGTGATAATCCAGTCCAAGCCTCAGATTCTTTATCGTAAACTGTAGCCAAGAACATTGCTGGCCCGACACTTTGGCCATTTTCTCCCTGACCTTTTCTTCTTAACAAAAAGTTATCCTGAAAATCCATATAAAATATATTTTTAAGTCATTATTTAATTCAACATTATCTAGTTTTTACCTAATCATGTACTGAGACACAACTTACATTTATTTCTTTCTCATCACTTTTGCTCAATTCATTATTTATGTCAACAACCAGCGGAGAGAAAGTCCAATCATAGTGTGAGAGTAACCGCAGGAACCTGTCAAAGAAATAAATAAGCATAGATGGTATATAAATATATTTTAAAAATACTCCTGAATAGGCCTAAGCCCTTTGCAGAGCTATCTCATATGTGAATGCCAAGTCCCGATAATTTGATAGAAACCCAATAACAACTAAAGTGTATGTCACCAGGGGTGGAAAGGGGCTCACTGTAGATCATTACTAAGGGAAAGAAAAGTAACACATGAAAGGTATAGTGAATTTCAGTCTTTGCTAAAATATTCTGTACGGATCATATTTGCCCATCCTTCATCATACCCAGTTCTAAAACCCATTAACAAGAAAATTGCTGCATTATCTGCAGTGATGTGCTTCAGGATATTCAGCCGAGAATATAGGATTCAAGGTGTGAAGGGTCTACTGACTACTGCTTAAAAGCACACTCAATGTCTGCGACCAAATTGGAAGGTTTTGATCTATCTTCTTAGACAGGAAGTTAGTCCTTTTAAAAAGAAATGGATAATCAAAGAAGAAAATGATTAAAGAGATGATTCAATATAGTTCTTAACAGTTTAATGTTAAAGAGATGACTGACAGTAAGTGATGCAATGTTGAAGCAATCACGATTGGTTGATTAGATGACTAACAAAGATTAGGAAACTCACCTCAAAAACCCAGTGATCCGTGAACAGGGAACATCAAATGGCAAAGGATTAAGGAAAAGATATGCAACCAATAGCTCAACAGCCTCCTCTACCAAGCACGCTGAAAATAGATGTGAAGCAGCCCATCGTTTTGCAAGTCTAGACACAAAAAGTCTACATGAGCTTCAGATTATAAATGGAAAACAGCTTGACACAGAAATCTGCAAATGTTTACCTAGCTACTGGTCCAAATATTGGATAACGACTTTCTAATCCATTGATCATGTTAGCATGCTGACCACGGATAAAAAGTTTCTTGTCAACAGAAGGAACTCGCTTAGCCTGGTCAACTCCAACTACATGTTAAAACGGTTTGATAAGTTAAATTTAGAAGTGGCATTTCCAATTAAATCATCATAATCATGTACAAAGTCGAAGTACATACTTTCCTTATTGAGCAAATTAAGGCCTCTCTCATGCAAAATTTTTAAACGAAATGCGTATCCTGACACTAACACATCCACATTATCCTCAGTGGCAGTACATGTCATTCCCCATGTCTTTTGAAGACTGCCATAATAATATATCATAACTTATACACATTGAAAAAGAATAAGATCCTGAAATGAAGAAAGGATCTACACCCTACCTCACTCCAATTTGAATAAGGAAGCTAGATTTTGTTTTTTCAATTGCAATTTCATCCATTGGCCAGTTCCCAGAACCTTCTAGCTGTAAAGGTCAAAGAATTAGCTCTTTAATTGTCAGTAAAAAGACCAGGACACTGAGCACAACTGGTGCGTAAAGCCATACCTGAATCATAACTTCCAGTGCTTGAATGCATGATGGAACTAACTTACTCAGTCTGAGAGATTCAATTTTTTCATTAGCTAGAAGATGAGGTTCAGGTGGGAAGACTGATGTGAACCTGAAAGCTGTAAATTACAATAAGCATAGAACATTGGTTGAGCTCAAGATTAGATGATATTCAACATTAACTTAAACACCCATATATTTAATTTTTTTTCTTCCCAATTTTTTTCAGTTTTTAATTAAAATAAAACACACACCAACAAGCATTGACACAGATCACTTCAAAAAAATGATACAAGAAAATCTATAAGGAGCCTATACTTGAATAAATAAATAAAATTTCCAGGAGGGTAAAATACCAGAGTCTAAAGGCTGTACACTGGACACCTTCAAAGGAAGGTCTTCAATAAGACGTAAACGTTTTGATAAAACATCAAATGCCCCAAGCAAACTAACAGAGTGTGATATAGGATCTGCAGGTGAATCATTTCAATAGATCGCGGCAGTTAACAAGTTAAGCATATTGCATGTGCCCAAAAAAGGGAGAATTCACAAAGATCAATACCTCCAGAACCGTGAAGCAAAGAAAAATCAAGTTGATCCACAACAACTACAATATTTTCCTTGGGCAGAGAAAGATGTCGACTAAGTAAATGCTCAGCTATTCTTTTCAAAACAAGATGTCTAGCCCATTGCTCACTTTCCCATACTAAAATTTTTTTAAGGGAAAAGACCCTCAACATGTCAGTAATCATCAAGAAAGTTTATCTCATCCAACAAGATGAGAAAAGTGTGATGGTCATAGAAGAAAAAAAATGAATTGTAATAATAGATGCCTCACCTGTGCTTTCTGCAATTCTACCATCTTTAAATCTTCTAAGCTCTGCTTTCTCTCCCCAAAACTTTCGAAATTCAAGAGCCTGCTTCAAATCATGGGTGAGTACTGTATTTGATGTAACAACCCAAATGTGGAAGCAAAAAGAAAAAGTGGGTATGAGCAAAAGAATATACATACCTCTTCTTTACTTTCGGCATTTGGGCCAATATCAACCATCCTATATGCTTTCTCCAAAGTACTCACTGAAACTCCTATCAACAGGGGCACTTTATCAAATACCGACAAGCCCTGAGGACGTGAATTCAGTTAGAAACAAAACATAAGACCCAAAGCATGAAAGCACGTTTTAAATGAGACACTGAAATTCATGCTTGAAATCATACATCATCCACACTCCACTGGCATTGTGTATTTCTCCATGTAACTTGAATGACTTTCACTCTATCATTCAACCCTTTAGATAAAATACCATGTATTTTATCCTCATATGATCTCCAGCACTCATCGTCTAAACAAAATCCCAAAGCAAATACCTCTTTCTTTCCCTCTAAATTTATTCTGCAAGATCAAAACAATAATATAAACTTACAGCTTTAATAACATGAAGCAAGTCATAATGAAAATTATTCAATGAACAAGCATCTATCATCCAGAAGAAATGTAAAGGCTAAAGAGAAAAGGCTAACAAGTCTCGAACATGTTATCGGGTAGCAAGGATAGGCACAAGAATCATAATAAGTGTCTCGAGGCTGTTTATTTACATCATTATAATTACTGTGTTTTCAAATTCAATATCCATGTTATATCCACAACATTCACCAATATTGGTACTTTCAAACATATCTGTGTCACCAGCGGAAATTAAGATAGAACAAAACCTAATAACCAGATTACTTATATTTCGTTCAAATTAACAGCGTATCTCCACAACCTTTAATATTCATCTTTAAAATTCTGCCAACCAACTATTATTCCAATTTAAACCCATCTATAAACCTCAATCGAAATCTCTAGCCTATCAAATTCTATGAAGCCTGATACTTAGTATAATATGGATACTAGGATATGACAATCTTTTAAAGCAATCTTGTATCATATAAAATATTTTATTATATATCTACAATATAATTTATATGTTAAAAAATATTTATTTCCTATAAGCTTTCTTACAAAGTGATCCAAGACTAACTCAATTCATCAAAACAGACTTGTAAGTTGAGATTAGGTTCGCTTGTAAAATGGTCAGTAGCCCTTTTAATGGATCTCTGGTAGAGTTTGATATCATCTTTAAAATTGATGCATATGATAATCACCCATCAGAATGATCTATCTACAACATTGACCAAAAAAACTTTCAAAATTAGACAAGCAAATCGACTAAAGAAGACCTGACGTAAATATCACTCAGGTTTTACATTCTGGTTCCAGTTTCTTCTAACATCTTGCACCAGGGAGATTATAACTAACTAATGTAATTTATACATGTATATAATACTATATAATAGTATAAACAACAAAGTAAAGCTCACTGAAAATTTCAAGGCATAGTTAGTTAGAAACCATTCCTGTAATTATGGGTGTAAGTGGCCTGGGTTAAATTGAGTTTAATCTAATTTTTTACCCAATCCAATTAAGTTTATTTGGGTTGGGTCAGGTTTACCATTTTCTAACCCAATGTTTGCTTGTTTGTCCAATTTATTAGTTGGATCGGGTCATCAAGTTGAGTAATTAAAAAAACATTTATGTCAATGAAATTCATGTACCCGTTACCCAACTCAATTCTAATTGGGTGCACTAAATAAAACCCAACCAAATGATCCAATCCAACCCACAAAAATGTAATTGGATTGGGTTGGGTGGGTTCATCGGTTGGGTCAAACCCACTTACACCCGATCAAAGAGGCAAAGCTGCCAAACACTGTGGATGACAAACAAACATTAAAAAAATTACCTCATACAGTAGTCATATTTAACAGCATAGTCAATCTTGGTCATAAAAACTTCCTCAAATCCTCCATCTCTACACTTCTCTAAGCATCTAAGTGTCATAGCAGCCTCTTCTTGAAGCTGAATTCAGAAGAAAATCCAAAAATAAATATATAATCAAATTGAGAACTAATATATATATATAATAAAAAGATGGTGTGCTGGCCATAAGTACCCGAGTAAAACCAATCCTAGACATACGAAAAGCCAAATTGAATTCTCCATTCGGATGGCATATGACAATTGGAAATGACTCTTTAAGTTGAATCTTTTGCTGCGAATAGGAATAGTGAACAAAACATATTACATGAGAAAAGAAAATTCCAGCAAACAATGTAATTCATATAACCCGCTTTGAGATACATTGCAAATGTGTTATGAAGACAATAATGAAGGACTGACAAATAATAAAAGGAAACTTATCCCAAAAAGAAGAAAAAAAACACTTATAAAGAAAGTCCTTAATAAATGGAGCGAATAAATTTCCCATTCATTTAGGATTAAAACTAGTGTATATGCAATTGAAAATATAACAAAGCTACTTGTCAATCAGGTCAAAAGCTTTATGCTACATTTTCAGACTACAATTCATTTAAAATTTGAAAAAAAAAAAATCAAAATTGGCTTGATCAAACTAGTATCGAAACAACAAAACAAAAGAACAAAGAATAAATGAAACGTTAAAGAAAATGATACATAAAATAGAATTACAAAAGTGAAAAAAAAAATGAAAGAAAAACCAAGAAAAGATCCAGACCTCTTTTGTGATACTGCTTTGGCCTTCCTTTGGAAAGTAGAGCCCTCGGTTCCACGAATCTGAGGTGGCTGCAAAACCACTAGCATTAATAAATACCAATACATCATGGCAATACATATTGGAGCCCCATTCCCAGTCTGCACCAATTTTAATGTCCGTAGCCAACTGCCTACATATTCACTAATAAACTGAAAACCACCTTTTTTTTTATTTCTGGTAATTCCTTTGGATGGAAAAGAGAAGGAATTGATTTTTATGACAGAACTCATAAACCAATTATACAGAAGAGAAACGATAATAATGCATTGGGAATACATTAAAAGAAAAGTCAAACAAGTAGCAATGTGTTTTCATAACACTCTCAATAAAGAAAAAGATTTTAGATCCTTAGAAGAAAACTAAACAATGTTTTCCATAGCATTTTATAAATACATGGATGTGTACCACACACACAACATATACACAAGGGAGAGCTGAAAAAATATGAACCAAAATACAATGGAGGTGCTATAAACATACCAATGAAGTTCAAGGTGAAACGAATTATTTCTGTTGCCTTCATTGAATTGTTAATATGTTGCTTAGAAGCAAGATAAGCCAGTATGACAGAAATCAAAAAACCATTCAGGCAATCATGAACATATACTGAACTTCTTTGACGGGCCCAAACCTAAATCAATGAGGACAAGCATTCGATTCAGTTTTTATGCATTGAATCTCAAGCATAAATGCCCAAAAAAAAATACAGATATCAAACCTTAAGAAGGATTAAAGCCTCTCTTAGTTCCTTCCATCCAACAAAATACTTGTTCATGAATTCAGCATCCTCTATAAACATATCTTCCAGAATGCTGGTATTGTACTTCGGTGTAGCCAAAAGATCAATCCCTTCAAGATATCAACAATTAATCATCAGAAATCTGTCAAAAGAAGAAGCAAAAGTCTTGGAGAAATAGAATAAAGGTATTGTAAACACAGACCATTACTCAAGTTATGAATGTTGTTGCGCTTCAGGTTCAACTTCGCTATGCTAAATATAGCCTTTGCGGACGGAATAATTCTTACAAAAAAACCAGGAACTTCAACAAGCTTTGCAGCTGCAACAATTTTTATTGTTAGCGTCATCAACATTATTTTAGAGTAAAAAGGCACTAGATTAAATTCTGACGCTAACGCGGAATGCAAACCTGGATACACAATCAGCAAGGGTTTTCTGGCTTCATTCTGTGTCGTAGACCATTCAACCCTGTCAATAGATGAAGACCTTTCCAAATACTTCTTCATCAAGCACAAATACAGACACCTCTTGGCATAGTATCTGTAATTTAAATAATCCTTCTCAAAGAAGCATTCCTAACAAAATATGAAAACAGTTACAAAGATCGAAATACACACCTCACATTGATAAATTAACTCAAACATTAATTAATTAATAAGTGAATTTGGTCATGGCTTTTTTTTTCTGATGACTGTACCTTTGGTAACCTGATGATAAGATCAACATTAACTTCAGGCCTCGCAATACTCTGTATGGAGTAACTTCCACCGGTCTTAATAAACTCTGGCTTCTTAAACTTAAACTCGACCTTATCGGCACCAATGTCCTTAATAAAACGCGATGCCAAATCTGCAGTTACCTGCGAATTCACGCGCATTCAGAAATATCAGCGTTCAATGCACCGAAAATCGAAGCAGAGAGAAAGACGGATAGAATAATGACCTTGAACTCGTTGGGGATTTTGTCGATGGAGGTTTTGATGGCGGAAACTGTGTCGTCAACTAGCTTAGAGAACTGAGGAGTGTAATCTAAGTTGACCTCTTTCAATAGCTCCGACACCTTTAACTCCGTTGAGTCCATGGCCATAGCTTCCGCCTCCGTGTGAGTGAGGTGGAGACGCTGCAGAATGGGTTTAGGGTTTATGGCAGGACAACGGCGGTTGACGTCTTAAATTAATAGGCAAACCTTTTAAATTATTGTTAGAGGAGGATTAACCAGAGTTTTTTTTTCTTGGGAAAATAAATGGTTTATGAAATCTTTATTTGAAAAGACCAATTTATGTATCAAATATTTCTCCCAGAAGAGGGAAATATATTTATCGTTTTTATCTTTTTAATTTTTTGCTAATAAAATGTATTTAACTTACACTCTTTTTTTTTTTTTCATGTTTTAACTAACAAAATCCTTTTCATTTAAACGAAAGACTAAAAATAAACGAAATAATAATGAGTGAATTATTCAAAATAATAATCTTACGAATACATCAATGTTGATACATACTTATATTTTTTAAAATAAATATCATAAATATAAAAAAATTGTTATACATAATATTTTAATTAAATAATTATTCTAATAGATATATATTGTAGGTGCATATCAAATTATTAAATTTATGTTAATCTAATATTTTATTTATTTTAGGTTTAAAAAACATTGTAAAAAATAAAAGCTTTACAATTTTATTTTATTTTCTCCCAAACTTCACTTTTATATAAAACCTAAAATTAAAAGTTGTGTTTTAGGATTATTGTTTTAATATATATATATATATATATATATATATATATATATATAATCTGTTTTTTTATGAATAAGAAATAAAAAATTATTATCTATTCTTATTTTATCTAATAATTCAAAATAATAATATATTTTATTTGTTATAAAAAAAACTATAAAGATAAATAGTAGATTTGTAAGTAAATAATGCTAGCTCTAATAAAAACTTTTTATAAAGAAAGTTGGAAAACAATAAATTTTTGCACAAGTTTTGTTAACTATTTTTTTAATTTAAAAGAACTAGTAATGAGATTTTAATTAATTAATAAAATTTGTAAATATTTTAAAAATATTTATTTAAATTTTGTCAAAAATAATAATAATAAATTATTTTGTTCAAAAACTTAAAAACAACAATATAAGAATCTAATAAAAATATCATAATAAAATTGAAAAAATTTCAAATTTTTTATTTTCCATAATAATGATTTTATAAAAAATTTGGTACGGTAAAAAAAATATTATATTTTAGTCATTCCAACATGTTCTCTCCTTACATCGTATTTTCAGAAAATTATATAAGTGTTTTCTAATTTAGAATTAAGAAAAATACATTATCACGATTAGTGATTCTTTAAAGAAATTTTTTTTATCAAATAATAAATGTCAATAATATTTTAGATTATATTTTATACAATATTATTCACGTTAAAATATTAAATATATTTATTAACTTTATTATTTTACTTTATTTGAATTATAATATATATATATATATATATAATATCATTTGTTTTTTCATAAAATATACGATTACTTATCGACTCATTTTATAACTCATTTTATAATATGATAAAAAAATATTTCTTCATTATAAATAACAATCACATAAATTATATTTTAATTTTACTAAATTCAAAGTTTCCTATTTAATCATATATATAATTTACTTACCAACCATTAATAATAAAGATATCAAACACGATAGATTTATATGATAGATTTTACTCATAAATTCATCAAATAATGGTAAATATATACCTAAAATTAAGTAAAATGAATTTTCATCAACTTTTAATTATAAATAGATTAGGATGACATTAAAGTAACATAAAATCTTACTCATTCTTTTTCTACCTGAAGTTTCATTATTACAGTAACATTAGAGTGATAATAAAGTTGTAACAACCTTCTCTTTATTTGTGAGTGACAAATTTTATTGCTTAAGGAATGAGCACGTGGAAAAATAGCTTTCTATGACGGGTTTTTATCACGGTCGTAATCCACCCGTCATAGTATGTGGCGCGGTGGCAATTTTGTAATAAAATCAAAAACTTTCTATGTCGGGTAAGTTTTAACCGACATAGTAAGTGGAAAGGTCACTTTCTATGTCGGGTAAAATTTAACCGACATAGTAAGTGGAAAGGTCACTTTCTATGTCGGGTAAAATTTAACCGACATAGAAAGTTCAATTTCTACGTCGGTTAAAATTTACCCGACATAGAAAGTTAACTTTCTATGTCGGGTAACATTTACCCGACGTAGAAAGTGAACTTTCTATGTCGGGTAAATTTTAACCGACGTAGAAAGTGTCTTTGATGACGGGTGTTAGGGCAACCGACATAGTATCTTCTGCTCCTCCCGCACTCCTTTTCATTTCATCACTTCCCCCCCATAGCAGAGCTCTCATGTACGTTTCTCCCTATGCTCCATTTCCTTTCATCAGTTCACCCATACCAGAGCTCCCTCGTTCGCTTGTATACGTTTCTCCGCACCCACATTTGCTCGTCACGCCACCTGCCAACGCTTCGTGCCGCCTGCTGCTACTGGTGCCCGTCGCCTGGGATACGTTTCTCCCCACCCAGCTCTGCACGTCACGCCACCTGCCACCTCTGTAGGTCTTCAAGAGGTAAGATTTCGTGCTTGCTTTAACCAATGTAGGTTTACAGTATTGAATCTAGTAAGTAATAATGCTGTCAAGAGAGGGAAACATCACGGGTGCCTTTAGCTAATTTAGAGATGTATTGTAAGTAGTTTAGTCATTTGAATGTGTTTCTGTAGTCATTTGAACATTAGTCATTTGAACATTAAATATGCCAAACTTGAGTGTTAATGTAGAAATAGATGATGTGCATGTCATCCGTTATGACCATATGGAAGGATTTTGGGAGAATGCTCCAACTTGATAATGTATGAAATTTTTTTAATGTATTGTTTTTTAATGTATGCACTTTTTTGTTTATCTTCGAATCATATTGTCTAAACTAATAACTATTATTTTTTTCTTTGAACACGGATATGGCAGATTCATCCGGTACCCTCCTCCTACACAGTCCCCCTCCTACACAAGGTGGTGATCGTAGTCGACCGCCTACCAGGAAAAAGGGTAGGCGTGCTACACTGGTTGAGGAGTTGAATATCGATCGCAGCCTCCGATCGAAATTGCCTATCCAGCTTGACATGCAACCTGGTAGAGCCACTGGAGAGCACAAGTGCTAGATTCACTAGCTATGTGGCCTTGCTTGGGAGAAGCAAGGTTAGTATTCTTATCGAGGATTGGGACCATGTTCCGAGACACCGAAGAACCGGATTTGGCAGAGTATCCTGGTACCTACTCTTACTTGAGCATTTAACATGTATATATATTTAACTTTTTTTGGGAACTTCATGTTATTTTTATTGTGTAGGTCACATATGATGTCCCTAACACCACTTTGTCGAGGACAAAGTGGATCTCATATGTCGGGGAACGCCTGGAGAGGTTTTAAGAGTGATCTCGACCGGCCGATACATATATGGGGCATCGAGCAACAAGAACCCATGTGACCGATGATCGCTTTTGGATGAGGAGACATGGCAGGCATTTCGGACTCAGCGATTAGACCCTAGGTTTCAGGTTAGCACATTTGTCATTTGTTTGCAGTAATTTTTTTTAAATAGAGGTTTTAAATTTGGTATTTAACATGGAATGCAACAGAGCCAAGAGGCGTAAGGCACAGGATATTCGGAGGAAGAATATCCACCCCCACGAGTTGTCTCGTGGGGGTTATGAGAAATTGGAGGAGAAGATGATGAAGGAGACTTCTTCAAGTCTACCTTCGGATGACTCAGTTATGAGTTCTCGTCACCCGCCCTTCACGCCATGATAAATGGAAGAGAGCTCGCCGTAACTCATCGGGAATTACTTATCCGAGCAAACTAATGTTGTTGCTCAACGTATTGTAAGTAGCATATCCTAAACTAATTATATATGTTATACTACAATAGGCATTTGTATTTGCTAAAAAATCATTCGTTTGTGTTGTAGGATGAGTTGGTTGAGCAGAGCACTCGGGGATCATTCCACCCACATGGCCGTCGGGATATATTGGCAGTGGCCATTGGTACCCTGCGAGCATCCTGGACGTGTTCGTGGTGCCGGACGAGGGGTGGGCATCGACAAGACTTTGGTGCCCCACCCGTGGCAACTCCTTCTTTGAGGCAAGCTCGAATGAGCAAGAGTTTGAGTCCCTCAAACAACAAATTAGGAAGGAGATTCGAGATGAGGTGTACTCGACTTGAAGGCAGAGTTATTGAGCTCAATGCGAGCGGAGTTGGCATCTTTGTCATCTCAACCTTCCGTCCCCGCACGAGCGGCATCCCCGATTCATGTCGAGCACAAAGGAGAGTTGTGATGCTCCCGATAGAGGGGCAGAGGTTGCTCCTACCGACACCGCTGATCGTCGGCTGTATGTTGCGGGTCCTCCCGAGCATTTGGTGGCATACTGGTACGTATTATATCTTTGACATGTATTTGGTACAAGTGTTACGCATTATATAGTCTAAAATATTTTATCCTTTGTTTACCTTAGGGAAAATGTATGCATTGGGGTCAACCATCTACCACCGGAGTATTGGAGATGATATGATCGGAGTGGTGGTTGTAGATGTTCGGGATCGTCGTCGCCTCAATCCTTATTCCCACTAAAGAGGTTCAAACAAGTGGGACGGACACCTGGTCATTTTATCTTATGGCCAGTTTCATTAACAAGACTCATCCCAACACATGCACAGGTTGATTTATGCATTGAACGATAATACTTATTATTTTTTGATAGGTTGATGTATATTAATGTTATTGATTTTTGGTACTTGTATAGGAAGAGGCTGAAAAAGCAAAGGAAGTTGTGCATGAATCACCACCACCATCTGCTTTACAGCGACTCGGTGCACTGGCATCGACTATCGGGACCACTCCCATACAGTTAGATATGCCACCCGAAGTCGTATGCAGGACCAAGACGATCCCTTTGTTCTTACTCCAAAGGGATATTTTTGATATTCTCACTGGTACTGATATGCTATGTGTATCGGTGTTCCAACTT